AGAAATCGCGTACTACCCACAGGCCCCAAAGTCCAGCAAAGGTTGAACGATGGATGGGGCTCTTGGGAACCAGCTAGCGAAAATGTCAGGAGACTCGGTTGCACTGGGACCAGATATTGGACATGGCCTTACTCAGATTCGGTCTAGTCCTAGCAAACGGACGGGGTTTTCCCGTTTTGAAATCCTGTACAGATGGCCACCACTCTCCACCCTCCCCCAATTCACACCCTGCAGGGTGACTGTAGACAAACTAGAAACATTAATGTCGCCCAATAGATGCAGGCTCTGGGCACTGTTCTCTGCCAATTAGATCAGTGGATATAGGAACCACTTCCTGTCCCTGTCTCGGGCCTGGTACATCCTACACCTGGAGACAATGTCCCAGTTAAGGAGTGGAACCTGCAACTTCTTAAACCCCACTGGGGGGATCCTTTTACTGTCATTCTGTCCACCCCACAGCAGTTAAGGGAGATGAGGTGACTCTATGGGCTCATCACAGTCGGCTCAAACTGGTGGCACTGGACCAGTCTGTGGCGTCTCCTACAACACATTCACGGACTTGCTCATCTGGCCAGCAAACCCCCTTCGACTGACTTTTCGTCAGCCTGGTGACAAGACATCCTTGTCAGCCCCTGCTCTAGTTGCCACTGGAAGCTGACCAGTCCATGCATGGCCGAAGCCTGAGCATGTCAGCACAGGGTGCCCCCGGTTTTCCTTCTCCCATCTGGGGCTGTCTCTGATTGGGTTTTCCTTCCTCCTCGTCAAGACTCCCCCAGCGCTGACCCCAACCTATTACTCACTGTAATGCCTCTGATCCCCCCGACTCTTAACCAACCCCTAGGCTGCCAGGAGGACGACAGTGATGGTGACACTCTTCAGCAATCAGAGCATTGACGGAGAGAGTCATGCACAGTAACCTGGGACAAGCAGCCTGGGGGCCTGAGTGACAATCTCTGGCTTAGTCCCAGTGTGCAGCTCAGTCCCTGATGTGAATCTTAGACCATGTACCACCATGAGGCAGGATGGACCTGGGGATCCCATGACTGCTGATCAGGCTTCGTGGTACCCACCATGAACCTGGCTCAGCAGCCTCAGATTTTACCCGGAAGGATCTGGAAACGTAGTCAGCAGAGGTTCCTGCCAAACCGGAGTCCAGCTGTGCACAGTCAGCAAAGTCCTGGGAGTTCTGGTCCAGGCTAAGCCTGGCTGGGAAGCAGCTCAGGGACGAGGCGGGCTTGCTCAGCATCCCTCTCCTTCTGTGCCTCTCCCTAAGCAAGGATGGGAAGCAGCCTGGATACCCGATGGCTCCGGATGCTGTGAGCGCGACACTGCAGACCAGTGATGGCCACGCAGGGTTGGCACGGCCGCTCCTGACCACGGCATATGGCCATGAGGAAGACGTGGGGACATTGACAGGAAAAGTGGGGCATGGGGTGCCAGGAGCTTACCATGACAGCCCTGAAACCTTGAGGGTGGAGCAGGGTGCAGAGATAGGGGCCTCGGAACCACGTGGGCCCCGCAGACCCGTAGACCCGCTCCAGGCCACAGCTTGGAGAACCCCACGCCCTCCCACCCATGGGATCAGCAGCTTGCAGGTGACACCCAGTGGGGGAGCAAGAGCAGTGCTGTGGGCACCACACCAGGCCCGCTCCTGGCCCCGGTGCTCAGCACAGCAGCCCTGCCCCACAGCCGAGCCAAGAAGGGCAGCAGGGACAACCACAGCCGGGGTTTCTGCGAGGAGACGGCAGCACAGGAAAGAACCATCCAGTAGATGGGAGCCTGAGGGTCACAGGGGCTGGAAGACCCACTCTCCGCCCAACTTTTTATCTCATTTTGTCAAGACACATCGTGCACCCGGAGTGACCTCGCAGCGCTGTCTGGGTGGCTCCATGCTGAACCACATGCATCTCCAAGCCCACACAGCCCCCCGTGCCCCTCCCTTGTCTGCACAGCCAGGTCACCTGGGGTGCTAGGGTCACTGCCACAGGCCTGTGGCGGACGCCATGCATGTCCACGTGACCAGATGGACCTTCCTGGGAGGCCACGCTGCATGGGGTTGCAAGGCCAGGCTCAGCCTGGTGGGCACCACCGAAGGCCACCTCAGTTTGCTGTCCCAGTCAGTCTTGTTGTTGTCACAGCTTGTTCTTCTCTGGTTTCTTCTGGGCTTAAAGCCGCACTGAGGGTTTAGTTTGGATTCCCTGGCGACTGAAGAAGTTGGCCTGGACACCAGCTGGATGCCCTATTTTGTGAAGGCCCTTTAAGAGACTCTTGTGGGCATTGAGTATCCTTCCTTGTTGATTTGCAAGAACTCTTTACATATTTTGGATATGAATCCTTGGTTGGGCCTAGGGACTATGTGCCCTCCCTCCCATGGCCTGCTCTCTCGCTCCTGAGGGGCATCTGCCTGAGTGTACCTGGTTTGCCCCAACAAGACAACACAGGCTGTGGGGTCAACAACAGTAAGAGGCCGGGAGGGATGGTCCAGCCCAGGCCGCCTCTCCTGTGACAGCTGCCTTCTTGTCCTCCCATGACCCTCTGCAGGCCATGTGTCTGATCCCTCAGTCCAAATCCCTCTTCTCATAAGGACACCAGTCACATTAGGGCCATCTCTGTAGTTCTCATTTTAACCTAATTGTGTATTTTAAGGACCTTACCCCAAATACAGTTATATTGTGAGATAGCAGGATAAATCTGACTTGAACTTACACATCTGGGGCAGATACAATGTGGCCTGAGTTGACTTCCCACCAAATTTATAATTTAAAGTATACAATTCATAAAATTGCACAACCATCACTACTACCTAATTCCAGAAATTTCCATCACCCAAAAAAGAAGCCTATGAACCCCAGCACCTGCTGTCCATCCACTCCCCTTCCTGTTTGTCTCTGCAGGTGCGCCCACTGGGAGCACTGGCAGCGCTGTCCTTCCTACCATTTCCCCTCTTGACGTTGCTCACAGGTGCAGCCCACCCCCCCTCCCCAGGCCCAGCCCCAGAGCCAGCTTGTCTCTTTCATATGGGCGTCTCTACCTGTTGTTGTGGGCGTGTGCTAGCACGGCGGGGAGACCTGCTTCCAGCCCTGCGGAGCTGCTGGGTAGTGCTGGCTGATGCCGCAGGCCTGCACGGGGTTTCACGCAGACTTGGGGTTCCATCGCCGCCCGCTCCTCACGAGCTCCCGACAAGACTTAACTTCCGATAAAAAAGCTGCAGCCCCTGCAGGCGGGCAGGCAGGCAGGCACATCCCGCTGCTAAGGGTCGCTTTCCCTGGTGACCAGTGACACTCAGCATCTTTTTCCAAATAGGATTTTTTAAAATATGTTTTTCTTTTTGTTGAGGAGTCACTGTTTGCATTTTGGAAGCTGAGATCGCCCCCTTCAGGCACAGTCACCATAGCGCAGCCACCTCCAACGCAGTCAACACATCCTGTGCTCCCTCCCTCCTGTCCCCATTGCTGCTCTCCTTTTCTGGGCTCCACATCTGATCGCGTCTTGGGGGAGTCTTAACAGTGCCTTTAAATCAACAGAATCGCTGATTTTATAATGAGCAGCCTACAGCTTCCCCATCCTGCTTCTATGTCATTGTGCGTGGGAAACACTTGCCTCCCCCAAGGCGGTGGAAATGTCCTCCGAGCTGGTTGTTCACCTTCTGTCTTTCCTGTGTGGCTCTACATCCACTTTGGATGCTGTTCAGCAGGCATAGGTCAAGAGATACAACCCTTCTGTGGAGCCTCCTATTAAACCAGGAACTATGTATCGAAAAAAAGGCTTTTCCATCACACTTAAAAGTCACACTCAAGGTGAGCACATTAAGGCCAAGGGGTTCTCTAGCCACTTCCTGATCCGCTCAGCACCTGCACACTGTCTGTGGGCAATCACGGGTCATGCTCAGCTGTCGGCCTCCAGGCTGCTCAGCTTCGAGATTGCCCTGGCCCCGTCCTGGCCCCAGTCCTCTTGTTAAACCCCTAAGACGGCAACTAGTTCTCAGCTGTGGCCCGTGGAAGGGGTTATGTGAGACAGAGCATTAGACACTGGCCTTTCTGGGTCCCATCTCAGAAGAGCAAATGCCCGGAAGCGGTTGTGGGCACAGCCCGGCACCAGTGGGTGCTGAGGTGGTGCAGCCTGGCGGGGATGGCATGTGTCAATACCAGATGCCAGCGGGCAGAGAGGTATGACTGACTCCAGCAAGTTATGTTTCTACAGAGAAACACACGTTCATGAGGCAGCAGAGGCTAGACACAAGGGCAGGACAGAGGAAGCGGCTGCACACTCCCTGTGCTGAGTTGGCACTGACAAGGGCCCAGGAACAGTCCTGAGCCTGGCAGGCGCGTGCAAGCACCATGGAGGCCCTCAGAGTTGCCTGGCTCCTGCCCCTGGTGTCTCCCACCAACCACCTGGTGTGGCGTCTACAGCCAGAGGCCCTGCGGGAGAGGCGGCCCCTCCGGCGAGCTGGCGCCAAGAGGGTCTGGCACCCCCACTGGCCTGGGCCCCCTCACTGCTAACTGCGAGCTGTGCTCACACTGAAACCCCCACAAGTCACCCCTGGTCTGATCAATGGGCTTGAGTCTCAGGGAGGCCTCCCACATCGGAGAGAGTGCAGTGTGTGCTACAGATGCTTGCCTGTGGGGGGTGACACCAGAGGAGGAAAGAGAGGTGATGCCAGGGCAGAGACTTGAAATGTTGATCTCCCTCTGGTGTGGGGGGAGTCGAGGCTCAAGAGAAGAGACTCAGGTTGACAGGGCAGCAGGGAGGATGTAGACATCTCCCCAGGAGGCAAGGAGCACCCCCAACGAAAAGACCTATAGAGCCATTTCAAAGCAAAGCAAACAGGAACAGCTGTATGCTCCTTCTGGTCAAACCCTCAAGGCCACACTTCAGCAGAGCCACACACACACACGTGTTCCCTCGTGGGAGGCGGCCGACCCGAGGGCTCTTCAGAGGGCGGTGGGCAGGGCTGGGCGTGCTCTGCTCACCCACACACGCACGAGGAGTTGAGATGCCAGTGTGAGAGGGATTGTTTATTTCTGCCGCCACCAGGCAGGGGCATAAGGGAAGATGAGGCTGGTTGTGTCCGAGCCACCGCCATGCCCGAGACGCCGGGGTGCGCGGACGCTAGACAGCACAGGCGTGCAGACGGGCCTGGGGCAGGGAGGGGTCAGGCAGGCCGGGCTCATGCTTGCTCCAGGCGCTTAATCTCCAGGGACAGCTTGTACACCTCCAGGGCCGTCCTCACATCCTCCGGGCTCGGGAGACACTGCAGCAGCTTCCTGCCAGCCACTATCTGGTCGCAGCCCACAGCGACTTCCTGAGGAAGAGAAAGGATGGGCTGCAGGGCCGGCGATGGCAGTGCCAGGCAGCCAAGGCTGCCTACAGAGCCACTCACATATAGCCCGTAGCGCAGCCGCTTGGGAGCTGCCCGGGAAGGGCAGGGACGTGGCTTCGGGGCGGCTCGGCTTCTCCGGGCCCCTCATGGCACTGTGTCATGGGGGAAAAGGCACCAGCCAGGTGCCCAGAGGGGGCCGCATCCTCCTGCTGCAAGGCGAGACTAGCAGAAGCTGTGAAAGGAGCCATAAGCTTGGAGAGGTCTGGCTACAGAGTGACCTACGCAGCTGGACATGGTACTGTGGGTGCTGGGGGCTGCTGGGGCCGCCGGCATTTCTAGAAGAGATGGGAATCCGAAGAGGGGCCACTCACCCATTCACACTTGGGCAGCTCCGGGGACCAGGTTCGGTTCTCCGAGCAGATGATGCGGGGGGAACCAGCCATGTGGTAGCCACAGTCACATTGGACGGTGACTTCCTCCAGCTCCATGTACTGCTCCTTGTCGGCGGACAGGCTGCCATGCTCTATCTCGGGTCTGCGACACTGGGCTACAGTGGAAGGTGGCCCTGGTCACCTGAGACTCCCAGAGTAGGAGCTCACAGGAGTTGAGGGCACCAAGGACAGCACAGGTCACACATAAAGCTGATCTGAGGCCAACCTGGCCTCCCCTGAGGCGCGCTTGGAGCAACCAGGCAACAGGAATGCGTCCCTGCACAGCACCATCCGGCTGACTCACCACTGTCCCCTTAGCCAGCTAGAGAAGAAAGCCAAGCAGGGGTGGGCTCTGGGACTAGTCTGAGGCCATGCCCACAGGGGTGGGTCGCGGGACATGTGGATCTGTGCCCTGGAGCCCAAGCTTTCCTGGCGACGTTGTCCCCAAACCTGGCTCTGCTCATGACCATGGGGGCATCATTGATAGTCTCACGCCCTCAGCATCTCCCTGCTGAGGGGGAGGAGGGAGTCTGTTCCCTGCATGAGGAAGGCCACCCCCACCGGCCAGCAGACCCCGGTCTGGGTGCCACAAGGTGGTGGCAGGCACTGGTGAGAACAGTGGACACTTTGGGGGTCCCATCCACAGCCCACTGGAGCAGGTGCTGAGATTCTGCTGGGTCCCCACGGACACACACAGGCTCAATCCACCCACCCGCGACTGAGTCATGACAGTGGGAGTGGCGGCCCCAGCAAACACACTGCTTGGGCCCACGAGGATGCCAATCTCCAGGGTCAGGCACCATGTGAACAGTAAAGCTAGGGAGTAATGTGGGGGCGTGTGTGACCTTGCGGCAGCACCGGGAGGAGGCCCACGGCGCAGCCGGCCCGGGGTCCGCGTGTGTCCGGCAAGGGGCAGGGCTGGGCAGGGCAGGCTCCACCTGCCGTTAGTGCCATCCCAGAGGTGCCCACACAGGCCATCGGAGCAGCACCCGGCCCAAGTCTTCCTAGCAGGGACGCTGGCTCTGGTGCAAGAGGAACACAAGCAGTCCCGAGAGTGTCACTGTTATTACTTAAACCAGGAACAATCCAAACTTTTCTAAGATAATGAGATGTGGTATCTTCAGCTGAAGGACAGTCACGCAGCGAGGAACAGGCATCACCAGAGTGAGACCCAGGACCTCCCAGACTCGGAGTCCAGGGAGAGGCCGGTTCGAGACTTGAACACCCTTAGCAGCACAGCCTCCTTGGGGAGGAGGAAAGGGGCCTGAGAGTGTGTGGAGCACCGCAGGGGTGGGCATGGGAAGCACTTCCAGGGGTGGGCAGGGGGAGCACCTCAAGGGTGTTTGTGGGGAGCACACCAGGAGTGAGCGGTGGAGCACCCCAGGGGTGGACTGAGGCTTCCTGCCTGGCAGGAGCACTGTGGGTCACGTAGGAACACCTTTTGAGTTAAATGCCTGGGTTTGTTAGCAGTTCTGTGTGTGTCACACTAAACTTAAAACTTTTAAGACAGAGCAAAGTCGTCCCCCTCTGTGTCTCTGGAACCACTGCTGGCAGCAGTGGTAGCCTCGAGGGACGACCAATGCTGGTTTCACTTGAGGCGCCGCAGGCACTGATGGTGAGTGGGCATCGTGGGGGACCCGTCGGGAGCCCAAAGCAGCTCTGCTCTCCTCGCGGGCCCGAGCACTGACCTCTGCACCATGGGGCTGGGGACGACCAGACGGCACTCCTGCAGGACAGCCTGGCCTCCCCCACCAGCGCGTAGCCCTCGTCGCACTGGTACTGCAGCACCGTGGTAAAGGACAGGAAGGAACTGACGTCCTCGCTGGAGCCGTGCTCGATGCTGGGGAAGGCACTGCAGTCTGGAGTAGAGTGGGGGAGGGAGGCGCCACACTTAGCTCAAGCTCCAGAGGGGCACCTGTGTGCATGGAAGGAGCCTGAGGGCAGCTGAACTATGGGCCATGACACTCCACATGGTCAACGGGAAAGACTCCTCCTGTTTTAGCCTTTGCAGGCCGCTGGGCCAAGCATTTGTGCATCTCGCACCCCAGGCCCCACCACCTCTATCGCCTGGATAGTCGACCAGCCCGCAGGGAAGGACACCAGGTCATGCAGAAGGCAGCCCTGAGTTATGCTGGGAGGACATCGCCACCTCCCTCGAGGCCCACCCTCCTCTCTGGACAGAGCAACCGGGTCTCGGTTGCCCACTTTGCAGTCCAGGGTGTGTCACAGGCCATGAAGCCACAATTTGGCTGAAGAGGGACATCCTGACTCCTTGCCCATTGAGGACACCCCACATGGTGAAAGGGGTAGCTCAGAACCAGAGGGAAACTCTTGACTCCACCACCACGACCAGGGCAGTCCAAGGGTCAGGGTCCTGAGGACTTAAGGACCATGTCAGGAAGTTTCATAGCTGAGCGTGTGTCCCTGCACCCTGGATCCGGAGAATCTGGTGGTGCTGAGGCTCCCTCGGCGGCGTGGGGTTGCCCTGCCTGCCCCAACGTCAGGACAGAGGCTGAGTGGATGCCTCCCCAAGAAAGACCAGGAAGGCTCCTCAGGCCTGAGCTGGGAACAGAGCTCTGGACTCACTCTAGAGTCCTCTGTGATCCAGGAGGGCCTGAGACAGTGCCCACACCAGGTCAGTAGAACCATGCCATGGTGAGGCCCCCCGCCACACACACACCTCCACCCCTAGCAGGAGTACAAGCTTCAAAACCCTACAGAGCCAGACCCAGATCCAGCCCTGCCCTCCACCCTGGTGCTCCCCGAGGGGAATGAGGAAGCAGTCACAGGCACCCTGAGTTGGTTCTGAGGGCCCACTATATATGGGGTGAAAACCTCTACCCAGCCTCCCCAAGCCCAGAGCCTGCCCCTCCCAGAAACAGAGGACTAACACAGAGCAACACAAGGGAGCACAGGCATGAGAGTGCACAGGCAGGAGGGAGCACAGGCACAAGGAAGCACAGGCACCAGGGAGGACAGGCACAGGCGTCGTGCAGGCTCAGCTCACTCAAGGGAGCAGCCTGACCAGTGAGCCGGAGACTGGGCAGGCCTTGACTTTGTGGGCCTTGACTGGGTGGGCCCCAACTGCGCAGGCTGCAGATAGTCAGCAAGGCAGAACAGAGCGGGAAGCAGGCTGCTGGGAGGACCGAACATGGAGGGAGGCACCCATGGGTACTTGCAGAGCACCCCGAGGCTGGCAGAGCTGGGAAGCTGATGAGGAAGGAGGCAAGATCTGCTGGGTCAGTGAGGAAAGTCCTGCATCAGATTGTCCCCAAGAGAGAAGGGTCAGGAAGAGGGTTCAGGTCAACAGAGGACCATTGCAGATGCTTGGAGCCAGAGGTCACGAGGCTCGTGGGGCCAGAAGAGAAGGGGAAAGGCAAACAGGAGCAGAAGAAGTTTGGGGAGACCACGGCCGGTCCTGTGACTCCCGGAGCAGGGCTGGGAACAGAAAGCCCTGGAGCCAAAGGTCAATGTGACAGGTGTGGCCCCCATCCCCTGCATGGAGGTGACGCCATCCCCCCATGCAGGCGTCTCCCTGGCAGCACCCCCAACACACACACCGCCAACACACAGTGAAGTAGGAAGTTTCCCAAGTCTGCTGCTTGGGGGAGTCTGCTCCTTCGAGTCTGCTGCTTGCTGGAGTGGAGGAGTTGCTGAGTGTACGTCACTGCTTGTTCATGGGGGCGGCCACGGCTCCCTGGATCCCCTTCCTGAGAATGTCTATGCCATGATGGATGCCAAGTTTCCTCACACAAACTATGTAAACCTTGCTGTTTTTACTCTTGGGGGCTCAGCCTTTTAGGAGCGATCCCATGGAGCCCGCTGGTGTGACAAGTAAATCTCTCTCTCCCCTCCTTGACTGCCATCTGATTTCTCTGGGAAGTTGCCGACACCCCCAATGCTGGCAGGCAGGCGCCAGTGGCCAAGGGGGCCGCTGCTGTGTCAAGATCCCCAAAGCCACCCAGACCCTCTCCTTTTATGCCATGACAGCTGTTTCAGGGACTACAGTTCCAGGTATTTCTATCTTATTATGAAGAATAACAGCAATGAAGTAAAAAATACTCTCAGCTGACAAAAGAAAAAAGTTTCACTTTGCTCAAAGGGCATTTCCATTTAGAGAATATGCCAGCCATGCCGTAGGGGTATGTCACGGTTTCCTGTTTACAAAATGTCCTCTATGTTTGCCCAGTATGCCTGATAACAGGCGACAGTTCTATTCACGGGGGAGAGCTCCTAATATACCGGTAACAGACTGGAGGAGGCATAGCCGACGTGGCTGGCCTGCTCAGAAGGTTTTGCATTTTAAACGTTTTGGATCTTTTAAAAAGAGAAATCAGTTTAGGTGAAGGATTGCCCCCACCCAGGGCCTCCGGGGGCTCTACCAGTCATCATTCCAGATAGTCACGGCCTCTGCTGTCCTGATTAACTCTCTCTTTGCCGTCTAGCAGAGCTCGCTGGCTCCCTGGAACCGTGCGAGTCACGGCGGGGCTGCCCCAGCCGCCCGGACTCTGAGGGTACTTCTCTCTGGGGGAGGCCGCCCACCCCCTCCCCACACTCACCGCTCCAGGCAGCTGGGCAAAGCAGCAGGGCCACGGCCCCCCAGAGGCACAGTGCCGGCCATAGGCTCCAGGGCATGGGGGCCATGGCGAGCTCAGGCTCCCAGACGTGCAGCAGAGATGCGGTCCCAGGAGCAGTTGAAGTAGCTGCTGGCTGGGCTGGCGTGGCCCGGCTGTGTCATGGGGGTGTGGCCTGGACAGGCCCACAGGAGGCCCGTTCAAAGAGCCGGCTTTAGGGAGGGCCTGGGGACGACCCTCTGCTGTCGCCCCGGCACTGCCCGCTGTGCGGAGCCGGTGGGCGCTGACTGGGGGTGGGTGATGCTGGGCTAGCCCGAGCAGGGCACCCTGGGGACCCAAAGTACAAGGGACTGTAGGGCTGGAGCCGTTGGGGAGGAGGCTGAGCCAGAGCCCAGAGCCAGCGGGATGGGCTCCTGCAATCACAGTGGACCAAACGGTGGAAGGATGAGCTCTTCCAATTCCAGAAAGTTAAATTCCTTTCAGAATAGCCTGAGTACTAGCCAGACCATGGCAGGATGACCTCTAACACCAAGAACTCAGCCCAAGCAATTCTCCCCACACCCCCTGCAAATTGTGCCCCCAAAACCCTGGGCTTTGGCGTAGAATGGCAGGAGGCTCCCTATGAGGCCCTCCATCATGGCCACCTGCTGGTCCTCGTGGCAGCTCGGAGCGCAGGAGTGGCAGGTAGGGGAGACACTCAGAGCATCTGCATGAGGTTGTGCTGACCCCCGGTCTCTACCCACTAGAAGACAGAGGGGATGACACACATCCCCGACCCCAGACCACACCCTGTCCAGCTGGTCCAGTGGGCGTCCAGCCCGACCTTTGCTAAGTTCAGTGTCCCCGCTGGGACAGATGAGATGGCCTCCTGCGTCTACAGGCCTGTTCCTGAGGGCCAGAAGGCACCCATTGAGGTGACAGCCTGAGAGCTGGGCCCAGCCCAGGTGGGGGCACCGCTGGGCCCCAGAGCAGCAGAAGAGTTTCTCCCTCTGAAACAAGCCAGAAGAGCCGCAGAAGGTCACTGTGTGGCTGAGCTGGGCTTCCTGAGGAGAACACAGGCAAATTCTGGCTTCCCGGAGAGAAAGGAGAACAGGTGCGGCCATGAGGGCTGCTCCCTTCAGAATGAGGAACTGCCACGAGGAGAAGTCACTTCAGTGACTCCACAGCCTGCTGCAGCTTTTCCTAGGTGGGGGCTGGAGGATCCCAGAATGGTCACCATTAGCCCTCAGGACCTCTCCCCGTCCTGGCAGGAAGTGGGCACAGAGGGGTGATCAGAGCAGCCCCAGCCAAAGTCTGCTCTTGCACTGGTGCTTCCCCTGGTCTCCAGGTCATTTCCACGTCCTGGCAAAGCTGGTGGACAGATGTGTGAGCCTCTCTGGGGCCTCAGCAGCGCCCCCTCACCCTCCCAGACAGCGGCCCTCACCTCACAACCCCCTCCTTCCATCTACCACTCTATGTGTGACTCACCTCTCAACCCCAGGGGTCAGGTGGCAGGGCCTGATGGGGGCCTGCAGGGCCGGCGCTCCCTGTTTCCTTCCTTTAAAACATTTATGCCCCTCAAAGTGCCCCCAAGTCCCCCCTGGCAGGAGCCAGCACCCCCAGAGCTGAGGCCTGGGCCGCCCAAGGAGGCCGCTCGGGCCTGGGGGGATTACTGGGGCATCGCCAAGCTTCTCGTTCACTGTCCGGAAGAGGGAGTGCTGGGTGTCTCCTGGAGTTAGGACTTTTCACCAGCGATGCCTGTCAGGGAAGCCCAAGTGCACGCGGCAAGCCCCTGTCCAGGAGCATGGAGCCCCACGCCCCGGAGGCCCTAGGAGGGCCTAGAAGGCCCTAGGTGGCCCAGAGGCCACCCCTGAGGCAAGATAAACAGCCTCATCCTGCCTTGTTGCTTTAGAATGTGGCCTGTGCAGGTGACATTGGGTCTGTTCTTGTCTCTGCTCAACTTTCTGAGGTTAAATGGTTGCTCAACCAGCCCAAGAAGACCCACAGGGACGGGACCTTTTCCTGTCTGTACCTAGGCAGACTCTGAGAATGGGGTTCCAGAGTCCGGGTGGAAGGCTGCTGTCGGAGCAGCTGAGGCTGGTGGGAGGGGCCTGGGAGAGGCAGGGAGACACCAGCTGAGGGATTGGCTGAGGCCGGGAGCCGGCGCTCACAGGTCATGAAGCTGGTGGCCGAGCATCACAGCGCCGGGCTGGGGCCGCAGAGCAGACCCAAGCATGAACAACTTTAACAGGAGCCTGTCTCGGAGAGTGTGGGCTGACCACCCAAGACTAAGCCCAGAAGGCTCGCCGAGGGAAGTGTCCCCACCGGCCCCTGGGAGGTAGGGCAGCCACTGCCGTGAGACCCAAGAGCTTGATCGGGGTGGCTGCGGGCGGGCCCGGCTGGGAGACTGGCTGAGGGGTCAGGAAGCCCCTAAGGCCTCACAGACCCTCCCCAGGACCTGCCTCCCCACCTCCCTGGGAGGCCAGAGGCATCCTTGTTATCACTGGATGTGTTGTCAGGAGGGCGAGAAGGAATGGTCAGCTCAGGAGGGAGGCCGGACACCTTTCCCAGATCCCTGACTTTTCCTCAGCAGCCTTCTCCCGGTTCTCAGACCTGGAGCAAGGACACCACTTGAGAGGGAAAGCCCTGACCCCACAGCCTCCCCAAGGGCATCAGCAGCACCCCCGTGCTGCACAGGTGGTTGGGCTGAGCCCCGGGTAGAGGCAAGTGTCCCGTGAACTGCCCCAGGGAGTGGTCTGGATGCCCATCATGGTCCCAGGAGCCTCAGTCAGGCCCACGAGGCCCACACTGTGGCTGGGTGGGCAGCAGCCGCGGATCCTACAGCAGCACCTCCATTTTCATAAAGCAACACAGGTCCTTTTTATAAAGTTAGTGAACACAGCGGAGCCATTCTGTTTTCCATGGTTCCTTCTAAAATAATCTGAGTAAATTTCTATTCTGTTTTCACAGCAGCACCTACAAAACAGACATTCCTTTTCACCAAACTGTATATACCCATGGACAGAAAATCAGCTCAGCCAATTTACTGTATAAATTAAATTCTAGTAAATGTACTTTTGCTTCTTATGAGGTAATATTTTTCATTTTTATTTAGCAAGTTTAATTTTGCACAGCAGCTACAAGTGGAGCTATTCTTTAAAAATTAACTCAATAGAAAACAATTGATCCCAGAGTATGAACGTTCTGTACTTGTATTAACATTCTTTTTTGTGTGTAGGACAAATACACACACTCCTCCGTGGGCTGGCAGCCCCGAGATCATTGCCAACGGAGCAGCTGTGGGCGTGTTTCTGCTCCCAAAGGCACAAGGAACAGACATTGCACGTGCGATCGATCATTCTATTAATACCAGGAAAGGAATAAGTTTCTACTGTGCTAAACCTGAAAGAAAATCCATAAGCAACCTCTCTGTCAAGAAACATTTTCAGTCATAGAAATAAATAAGTATCATGCATTATGTGTAAATATTCCCAAGGGGCAGTGACCTCACTTCACCCATAAAACAGCAGCATCAGACAGTCAGGATGCATGGGGCTGGAGGGAGCCTGGCGTGGGGCTGGCGGGATCACAGTTCAGGGCCCACTCCCAGGCCTCTTTGCAGGTCAGGGGGGCTTGGAGACCACGCTGCTTGGCAGGGCCTGTGCATCCCTCGCTACAAAGCCAGAGCTACAGCCGGCATCTCTGTCATGTCTGGGAGCGCCTGATAACCCTCCTCCCCCAGAGCCTCAGGTCTCAGCTGGAGACAGACCACCACGCAGTGGTGTGTTCCTGGGAGCAAAGCAGGGGCTTGGCAGTGGGCAGCTGGGCAGATGAGCACTGGTGACTTCACACGCTGTCACCCACAACAGTGATTGCAGCAGTGGCCAGGCCTTGGGGGACCCCACGACAGCCTGGCTGTGAGAAAGGAGAACTAGTCCATCCCCACAGGGTGGGAGCGCCGTGCTCTGCCATCCAGGGTGGGGCAGGCGGAAACAAACGCCATCCAAGCTGATAGTGTGAGGGGCGTGGGGTCATGTTGGGGAAGAAGCAGGCAGGCAGTGGCAGTGGAGGTGGACATGCAGCAGTGAATTCGGTTTGCAAAAGCGTGAGCCTTCACCCTCGGTCACAATGGTGCTGGACACCAGCGCTGCCTCAACAAAAAATTAACAATCAAAATTAAATTCATTAGATACAGTTTTCAAAAGGAAAAATAACTAAAGGGGCAGGAGGCTCTCAGACATCAGACAGCAGGACGCTGACAGGGCCCAGCGTCCAGGCCCCCGAGTCGTCAGGGTAGCCCCGGTGGCGTCTCCAGCTCACTTGCGAAAGGTCGGGGCGAACTTGTACTCTGCTGGGTCAGCAGCTCTGCCCCCGAGGTCACCCAGGGACCAGGTTCCTTCCCCTTTGTGCTTCTATGCACCCCACCACCACCCCCAGGATGCTGTCCTCTAGCTCAGTTCACCAGGGTCGCCGGCACAGTCAGCATCTCAGCCTTCACAGGGTGAAAGAGGAATTGGATGCCAAAGCTTCCATTTTAGGCAAGTGGCCAGGAAGCTGTCCCATGGGGAAGTGGTGGCCCAGGTCACAGTACCCCTGCGCTGGTGACCGGCCAGCAGCCTGAGCCAGAGCCCTGGGAGGCTGGAGCGTAGCCAGTACTGCTCTGGGGATAGCGCAGGGCTGGAGCCTGAGCAGGGAGGTGCTTCGAGCCTCCTAGCCACTGCAGCAACCCTTCCCCTTCCCTCCACCCTCTGTGGTACCCACCAGTCACAGAGCTTCCTGGACACCTCCCCGGGTGCCCACAATCCATGTCCCAGGAGTCCCAAGTCCATTATCAGCCAAACGGACTACTGGCAGGTGGGTGAGGGCTTGAGCGTGTCTGTCCCTGCTAAGGAAAACAGGCACAAACGAGATGGGGGCTTGGTGGCTCCAGGGCTACCTACCGCGAGCCTTCAGCCTTCCATGGCGGTCGCCCCTCTGAGGACGGCCTGTGGTCAGGTGTAAACACAAACCCTCCCTAGAGGTGAGAGTCAGGAGTTGCAACCTAGAGGCTGCGTCCAGTGCTCCCAAGACAGGAAGAAGGGCCGGGGCTTGGGGGTGTGTCGACATCTAATGGGAGTTTTACAGAACACACGTGCAGGGGCTTGCAGAGCTTTGGTGAAGGCTCCTCGAGGGCCCATGTCCAAAACACCCCCGGAAGGCCTGGCTGCACGAGACGAGCTTGTGTGGGGCCCTTGTTTGACAGGACCTGATGACCAAGGCAACAGCAGTCTTGTTTTTGTTTTGTTTTGTTTTTTGTTATTTTTTTAAGATATATTTATTTATGCATACAAGAGCTGGGGTACAGGCCAGAGATGTGGGGGGTGAGAGGATCCACCAGAGACAGAGTGGGGAACAGAACAGGCAGACTGACTGAAACACACTGCTGAGGAGAGCAGAGGGCGAGGCAGGAGAGGTCTGCTGCTCCATGTGGGTTGCTCCCTGGCTGGGCGGGGATGGAACTCATGCTGCAGAGACTGTGGATTGCTTCATAGTGCAGTGCTTAACCTCTTGTGCCACCAGGGAGGCCCAACAGTCTTGTTTTTGGTCTTGAAATTTCTTAAGCTTTTATTATTTTAGCAATATGTTCAGGATTCAGCCTTGTGCTCCGGGTACTTGCTCTGTTCCTCCCCCAGTGTAATGAAAAACTTGAGACATTTTGGGCAGAACAAACATTAAAAGACTAAAGACAGAAACAAGAAGACTCAGCAATGGCCTCTGAAGACAGAGTGGCAGTCAGCTCTTCTGGCTCTTTCGTTTTCCATACCCCATACCCAGAGCTGGTAAAGATGCCCAAAGGGGCAGATGGAAAAAAACACGCCCAGTGAAATCCTGCTCTCTCAGGCAGAAGATCACGAAATGGCAGCCTGCCAAGATGGAGGACTTCCAGACAATAGTACATCACCTGCAATAAATAGAAAGTCCCAGGAAAGAAATACACGCTATAAGGAAGAGTCAAGTGGGAATTTTAGACTAGAAAATGCACGGACCCAGATACAGAATTCAGGGATGGTTCAAGAGCAGAAGGTGGTGGTGGTCAGGGGGAAAATCAGTGAATATGAAGCCAGAAAAAGGAAAGGACCCAGTCTGGAAAAGGGAGGTGAAAAACTCAGTCTTCGGACTAAACAGGTTTGATGCATGAATATTTATTACAATGAATCTAGGAGCACAAAGGCTGGTGGAGTACGAACAGACATGAGTGCTCCAAGGGTGGAGGCACATGTTTCTGCTGTTTCTGGAACAATCACAGCTCAGATGCCAGCATGGATTCCTTTCCCTTGTTTCTCTGCAACTCCAGTTGTTCAATCTCCAAAAATAACTTATATACATCTAGCGCCATTCTCACATCATCGGGGTTGGGAAGACACTGCAAGATTTTCCTGCCCGCCACCACCTGCTCACAGCCTTTGGGGAACACCTGAGGAGAGTCGGGGTGAGTGAGGCTGAGAGGGCATGGAGGGCAGAGGCCATTCCCACTGCCCACCTGGAGCTGGAACAGAATATTACATAGTCTGGAAAAAGGAAAGTTCGAGCCAGCACACCCGGGTCTGAGGCCCTTCTCAGCCTACGGGGTTCAGTTTTCCGTTCTCAAGTGACAGCAGAGAGATTCAGGCCAAAAAAGAGAATCCCCCGAATGGTGTAGAAATGGACCCTGAGCAGCCAACTCCCACCTTTGCTGGCAGGAGAGTCTTGGGAGTCCCTTCTGAGGCACAGAAGCCCCTGAATCATGCTACTTACCCACTCACACTTGGGTACCGCTGGAGCCCAGGTTTTGTTCTCCGAGCAGGTGATGTTCTGGGAACCAACCAACTCGTAGCCAGGGTCACACTGGACGCTGAGTGTCTCGGGCTCTTGATACTGTCTCCGCTCCACGGACAGACGGCCATGACCTACCACGGGCTTCTGACATTGGGCTGCAGCGGAGAGACAACCGTACAAAATCCGTAAACTCCAGGAACGAGATACGAGACTCGAGGGCAAAACAGCTCTGCATTTAGGTGTGGCCGATGGTTCTCTCTTTCCTTTTATTCTGATAATAACAACAGCACTAATGAGCGTATTTTTGAGCATGAGCTCATCTCGGACAATGCTGGCCCTTCTCTGGTGGTGATGTCAGCTGGCCAGCGCTGTGGCGTGGGCTCCACCATCCTCAAGTAGCTGAGCAAGTGGGGTGGGACTAGGCTAAAACACTTGGCCGAGACCAGGACATCTCGAACCCATGTCGGGGCCATGGGGGGGGCTGTCACCAGACCCCCAGCTCTCAGAGCCTCCAGCCTGGCGCCCCGGCCCTTTCTGGTACCCGAGTCTCTGACAGCAAAGTGATGGTAACCACTGCCCGGGACAGGCTGGCTCACGGGTGCCTCCCCCGTCAGGGCAGGAGGCACCTGTCTGAGGCTGAGGGAGGAGTGGCCATTGGTGATGCCTCAGTCAGCCAAGGACGAGGACAGGGCACCCCCACCCCAGAGGAGAGTGGGGAGACAAGAGCCTGGCTCTCTGCTTCCAGCACCTCTGAATGCAGTGACTGTTTATAGCCACTGGGTCCCGTCTCTATCACCCTGGCCAGACTGGGAAGGAGGTTACCTCTGCACTTGGGGGGTTCCCCCAACCAGCGTGAGTCTTTGCAGCTCAGACTTTTCTTGCCCACCAGAGCATAGCCGCTGTTGCAACTGTACACGACCTCCTTCTCTCTGAATAACCTAATGTTTAGGTCGTAGTGTCCATGGGCAACGACAGGTGGAGAATGACAGCCTTGGCAGAGACAGACGGGAAGTGCATTCGTACAGAGGACATGGTATACCCCAGGGTCTGGGCTCCAGGAATGCCCCCTCCTTCTGCCCCTCTGCCCATAAACTCACGTACCCCATGCGCCTAGCTGCCTCCCATGAGCCTCGGGCAGAGAGAGCACCACAGCTCCCCCACCAGCCCACTCAGGGGTCACTTCCGTGACCTTCAAAAATGGAACCGGTGGGTACAACTCCCAGGTGCGGGGTGAGTACACACCTCTAGCCAGGCCAAGGGGATGCAGTGGCACAGCCTACACCCTTCCCCTCAAATCAGCAGATTTAAACAGCTTTGGGCAGGTTAAGGCACATGGCCATGACGAAGGGCGGAATGAGGACCAACGCTAGGAAGGGATGCCGAGCTGGGCAGCCCCGGGTGAGGCAGGCCCGGCTAGAGCCCATGAACCCAGAAAAGGAAAAGGAGACACATCTCGGCCAGGTCTGGGGGCTCTTCACCCACCCCTGAGCCCCCCCAGGAAGCCAGCACTTTGCCTTGAGGACTCGCCAGGCCCCCTGGTACGGCTCTTACTGTTATCACAGCTCGGCGCCTGGGGGTCCCACGTGCCGTCCGCCTGGCAGGTCGCTGAGAACTTGAACTCTTCGGAACACCAGTACTCAACCGTGTCCCGGAAAGAGTAGGTGCAGCTGCTGGAGGAGGTGTGTCTCACCACGTGAATGACTGTGTCGTTCTTCAGCTCTGGTATGGGGCAGCAGATCTCTGCAAGACAGGGGGCACTGGGAGAGGGCGGGGCTCCACACCAGGTCTGCCAGGTGTGCCAAGGTGCCCACCAGCCTTTCTCCTCCAGCTAAATATCTCCACTAGAAGGCTCCAAAGTGAGAAGATGGATTAAATTGCAGGAGAAGGTAAGTCCGAAGCCCTTCAAGAGCAAGGTCAGGGACCCTGCCTCCTCCGACGGCCTGGTGCCAAGGTGACCGGCTGCCTGCCCACCCCCGTCCCTGGGGACAATGGCCTTGCTACGCCCACCTGCTGGGGACCCTAGAAATAAGTGATCATTTTTGCTGAGAACCAGGCTTTCTCCGTTCCGGATGCCAAATTTTGGAGAAATGTTTCTTCTGATTCTTTTGTTTTAGTGCCTAAGAGAGATACAGGCATAAACTTTGTACTCGCGAGGAGAAATACTTGCAGACACACTTCGTATTTGATGTGAAAGGAAGCAGCTGAACAGAAGAAGGTTCAGATCAGGGGTCGGCATTTCCTGTTAGCTCTCAGCCGGTATGGTCTTGAACTCCCCAGACCAGACGTTCCCACATGCAGGAGCTCCACCCCCTCAGCTAACACTCATGCAAGCTTCTCATGATGGGAGTCATGGTCCAAGTTCATACTTAATCAGATTTAGTGCTAACCTGGATGAAGACCATTTCACTTCTGTGTTTTAAATGGTTTTAGAAAATCATTTATTAAATAATTAAACCAATAATACCGTTCTGGGCAAAATAAATGATTAAAAAGTAGCTTTATACACACGAGAAACACATTTATATAGAAAATGAGTGTATTAATTATCTGCCATGGTTTTCATTCATTAAAAAGCCTCCCTGAGGACATGTACTTATTAATCCTTTGTTAAGTGGCAGCAATACTTTTTGACAAATGTAGTCTTGATCCCTTTCATGAAAATCTCTCATTCCAGCTCCCTGGAGTGAGCCTGCCCAGTGGCTCCAGACCCGAAGTGGGTACCGGGCAGCTGGCCAAGCATGTGCCCTTTGGCTGACGTTGCCCCCAGAGCCTGCTCTGGGCAGAAGGGCTGCCAGGGAAAGGGGCCCTTGATCCCAGCAGGTAGGCGCTGTTCGCCCTCAGGACCAGGGCAGGGGAAGTTGCAGCCTCGGCCCCTCCAGTTCCCAGAGCTGGGGGGTTCTCCTAGCATAACAGCCCACTGCCCTGTGGAGTTAGCATCACTCTACATTAGTCTTGAACAAAGACGATAGGAAAAAAACTATGAAAACAAGAAAAAATTCCATAAAAATATTTTAAAGAAAAATAAATAAAAAAGGTAGACTACATTAAGTTTCTCTTGAGAAATCAACTGAAGTTCACCTTGGGCAGAAAATCCCAGCACCTGCGGGGCCTACAGGCAGGCATCCCGTGCTCACCCTCACACGACGTGGGCAGCGTCCAGCTCAGATTCTTCTGGCACGTCACCTCGGTGCTCCTGTCGGCCACAGGTTTATAGCCCAGGTGGCATGAGTATTGTAGCACGGTTCCCACGGCAAACAGGGCCCGGTCCCTGGGCCGGCGGTACATCCAGGAGGAGTGGGGGATGTTTGGGAGGCCCACGCAGCTGTCTGCTCAGGAAGCACAGAGAAGGATGGTCACGGTGGACGGCACTGCTGGTGCCACTGGCCTTGCTGCCCCTAGGGACCCTCTCGGCTACCTCTCAGCGTGAGGTCGTGTCAATGCTGCGGAGCTCCTGTGAGGTCAGAGAAAGGTACGTTTCCCTGGATCACATGACTATTGGTCTTTCACAACAGTCACTCCAATATAGCCAGACTGCTTCCCAACCACTGCACACAGCTTTGCATGAGTGTAGGCACCCAGAGCGCCTACAAGCCTAGTGTTCCCCTTAGAGTCAGGACGTGCACACCTGCTCACCTGCTCACCTGCTCACCTGCATACCTGCTCACCTGCATACCTGCTCACCTGCACACCCACTCATCTGCACACCTGCTCACCTGCACATGGCAGCCTTGTGGAACTTAAAGGACTTTTCCCACAGTGCACTGCCATCATTCTTTTTTCCAACAAGAAAAAAACTAAGGAAATCCTTGACCGAAACACCAATTTTTACAGTGATTCAGGTTGCCTTTACGTGCACTCATGTGTCCCTGCCCGCACCAGCATCTCTGCATCTCCTGAGAGGCCACACGGGGCCCCGTTGGTCCATACTCACTCAGCTCACAGGTGGGAAGGGCATGGTCCCACTTGCTATCATCCCCACAACGGAGCAAGCTGCTGCCTCTGAGGATGAAGCCTTCGTTGCAGGTGAGGGAGACGGAGTCCTTGTAAGCGTAGCTCTGTCTGAACCCAGAGGCCACCTTCCCATCTTTGATCTCTGGGTAAGGACAGTTGACTTCTGAAGAATCATAAGAAAAGACCACGGGTGTGTGGAAGAGAAATGGCGTAAGGCTTTCACAGCGGTCTGTACCAGCCCCAAGGGTTTGGGAAGCCGGAGGCTGCGCACGGGAGGCCTGAGGAGAACACGCCAAGCACGTCCCTCGACTTTAAAACCCCAGTGAGCCCCCATCGGGTCAGTCCTACTAGGAGGTGATTGCAGATTTCTCCATTATCCTCATTTTCCCAGACCAGCCACATGGAACCCAGAAGAAACACCGTCTCGAAATCTCCGTCTGTCCCTGGCTGTGGCTGCCTGGATGCCTGGGTGGTGGTGAAGCAGGAAATTGGTAAGTCTGCAGCTTGGGGGAGTCTGCTGCTTAGATTCTGCTGCTTGCTGGAACAGAGAAGAGGCTGGGTGCACTGCTCATCCACAGTGGTAGCCACGGCTACCTAGACCCCCTTTCCAAACAATAAAGAATGCCTATTCCATGATGGATGGGGGACAAGCTTCTGCATACAACCTGTATAAAACCCTGCCACTTCTGCCCTTCGAGGCTCAGACTTTTGGGAGTGATTCCACCGAGCCCGCCGGTGTTACAAGTAAATCTCTCTCCATCGCCCTGAGTGCCATCTGATTTCTCTGGGAAATTGCCATAACAGTGGGTCAGTGGCCAGAGGTGCGGAGATGGAGGTGTGAGAATCAATGACCCTCCTACACACAGCCGCCCAGCCCTGCCCACCCTGCTCCCCCTTCCTGTTGCTCCCCATGCTCTCCAGGCCTGGGCCCTGCACTGCCTGCTGGGTGGTGTCAACAGATGCCTGTGTGCAGTCTCGTGTCACTTCCACCACTGTCCACTCTGTACCGTGAGCTTGCTGGAACACAGCCTTTGCTCTCCTGGTCAGAGCCTCTCAAGGCCTCTCCTGTCCAGAGGTCTGAATTGCAGAGAGGGCCCCACGAGCCCCCACATGGCCTCCCCATCACGCCAGCCCCTCTTGGTCAGCCTTGGGGCTCTGCACTATCTGGGCTGCCCAACGTGACCAGTCCTGAGGCTCCCCAGCCAGCGTCTGCGTGGGTGTGAGCACAAGGACCATGCCCTCAGCTGGCCCTCCAGCAATCCGACAGTGTGCTGGGCTCAGCGAGTGCTGGGCTGTCCCGTGGCCTATGGCCTCCTGTGAGCTTGGCCACGGGCACGTGTTTCTCTGGCAGGGGGTGTTTCTCTGCCTGCTTGCTCCCCAGGCAGAAGACCACAGTCCCAAGTTCCTGCGGGGCACATGAACGCTACTCATTTTACACAAAAAGTCACAAAGGAAAGTGATGGGGTCACATCTGGGCCAGGGCCCGGAAAGTCAGGGTGCACAGGCTCACCTGCTTCTCCTGAAACCACATAGCAGCACATTCCGAGGGCAGGGCAGCCCGAGGGCCGAGCTGGCTGCCCAGCAGAGTGCCTGCATCTGTCCTAGACACAGCCGGAGCTACGCGATGGCCGCCCTGACTGCATTGGTGCTGGGCATTGCCATAAGTATCACCCACCAAATACATGACCCCCTCCGATAATCAGTTTCCTTTAACTCGCCCCCAGCCCCGCACACAAGCCTCCTGTGCACCAGCGGCTGCAGCCTGGGTTTAGCATACGACTCACTTTTGCAAGTAGGAGGACTTGGGCTCCAAACACTTATTGTTTTATTCTTGACTGCACAGGAGATGGAGGCTCTGCCCAGCATGGAAAAGGTGGGGTCACAGCTGTAGGTGACGGAGGACCCATAGGTGTAGACCTGGTCTCCGCCATTGTGCCTTCCGTGGGGGATTGCTGGAGGGGGCTCGCACTGGGCAACTGGGTGGGTGAGGGGAGAGGAGGACATGGCCAGAACCATTACAGGCCTGACATACATGACACACTTTGGCGGGGCTCAGGGGTAGCCACACCGCGGGCCCAGCACGTGGGGTGGACAGCCAGGTCAGGAGAAGCTCGCACTTACTGACACACTCAGGGAGGGGGTCGCTCCAATTTACACTGTTGTCATAGACCTCACAGTAGCTGGTGGTTGGGCCAATCAAGAGATATCTGGATAAAGTGGATCAAGAGTCTTAGTGGATTCCTTCCCAGCCTTGGGCGGGATTATTAGATGCAGACAGAGTGGGGGCTCTTGACACCAGACTCACCCTGTCACAGGAGCAAGGAGACAGCATGGCACCGCGCCCTGCCAGCAGCACCCCCAGGCCCCCCCCCAGAGAGCCCCCAGGTACCCACCAGGGACCCCCCCCAGGGACCCTCCAAGGAACCCCCAAACACCCACCAGGCACCCCCAGAGACTCCACAGGCACCCGCCAGCACCTACCAGGGACCCCCCCAGGCACCCACCAGGCACCTCCCAGATATTCCCAGGCACCCCCAGGTGCCCTGCCAGCAGCACCCACCAGGTGCTCCCCCAGGCACCCCCAGGTACCCCTAGGCACCCCCCAGGCACAGTCTACAAGAGATTCAAAGACAGGCAGCCAGCACCATGGACGTTCTGCAGGCCATGTTCTCTTTTCAGTATCAAGGCCTCAGGTTTTATTTGAACCTAAATGACTCGAGGAGTAAGATTCACGTGGAGGGTTTTGTTCTGTTTTGTTTTAGGGAAACCACAGTGTCAGCCGCAGTGCTGGGCTCTGGCAGAGGCAGGCATCAGGCAGCCAAGAAGGGCCATGAGCCCAGCGTGGGGCCCTGGGACAAGGCAGCTCCCAGGTGGGCAGAGCCCTGACCTCGGAGCTGAAGGCGGACGGGGTGGGCGGCCAGCGGGCCCATCGGAAGCCGCCCTGGACTAGGAATGTCCAGTACTCAGGTGAAAGGTAGGGGACACGCTGAGGCTACATGAGTGAGAAAATTCACTGAAAGAAAAGACCGAGGTGGGAGGAAAAGCCACGCTTGCTGTCGCCATCACCGGGGCCGCTGGGACCCTGAAAGACAAAGTGGCCAGACACCGTGGAAACCATGGACGACAGTGACTACCGGACTAGTGCTGACCCTGGAAGCACAAGCTCGGCACTGTGGCCAGCAGAGGCAGTGGCCGCTGCTTCCCGTTGGTCACGGGAGGCACGTCCCTGCCCCCTGTGAGGATGAACGCGGCCCTGATGGGAGCTTGGCCAGGCCTGAGCGAGCTCTTGGGTCAGTGCCTGAGGGCGGGCTGCTCCCTGGTGTCAGAGACAGGGAGACCACGGGGTGCAGGGCAGAGCACGGGCTTGGGATAGTGTATGAGGAACAGGTGCCAGCGGCTAAGCATGAGCATTCACCCATGAGAACAGGGAAGGAAAAGACATGGCTAGAGGCCCATGGGGGTGACTGTGGCAGCCTGTCCCTGGGCTTGGGCTTGGATTTTGCTCTTTTCTCCCAGGCTCGTCTGGCCCCTTTGCCCATCCCTATGTGCCCGCCAGGAGGTGCCCTAGACTGTAACAGGCTCCCAGGCCTCAGGGGCCCCGCTTCAGGCCACCCCTGTTGGGCTGGGGACTGACCCATGAGGGGACGGGTAACTTTGGGAGTTTTGTGTGAAAACTATTTTGTCTATTCTTTCCCTCTCTTCTCTATTCCACACTAAATGTATGAAAGTCCCTTTCCATCAGGGGTCATACACACTAGAGTGTTTTTGTCTTGATGTGGCCGACAACAGAGCCTATTAAGAGCAGGCAGGTTTGGGGGTCCCAGGGTACCCCTCAGCCTGCCTGCTACCAGATCCAGCAAAGAGGCTGTTAGTCCAGGAAAGCCTTGCACAATACAACTCTGGGCTCAGAAAGGAAACTGATGAAGCACCTCTTTGTGTGCAGACATAGCAATGCCTCCTGTGTACAGACTCAAAACCACCCTGTTACTGGAACGGAGCGAAATAAAAATGCCTGCTAACAACTGAGCTAGTGTCTATAAAAGGCAATACTGAGAGGGTACTTGAGAGCAGTTCTGTGGGCAGGAGCAGGCTGCTAAGGGTGGGGTTGGGGGGGATTCTCTCGAGGGAGAACTTTTCACACCCTCTTATTTTGAACCATGTGGACACATCAGCTGTTGTTAGAACTCAATGAGAGAAAAGTCTGGTTCTGGATTGGCTCCACTCACCCTTCTGAGCAGATGAATTCCAGTTGGGCCCCAAAAGAGAGGTCTGTCTTCACTACCACATGCCCATTACGCAGCTCTCCCGGGTTCTGGCACCGCTTCTCTGAGAGAGAGAGCACCCGGGTGATTAGCAGCCGCTGGGCCCTGCAGATGGGGACCAGAAAAGGGCCTGGTGGGTGCACCTGAACTTCTGCCTCCAGAGAGATGCAGTGACTCAGAGTCACTCACTCCTGATCCTGACTTACTCACTAGATATTTTTTTTGGGGGGGGTGCAAAATGAATACAAAACTTGATCTCATTTTGGGGGTGCATTTGCCAGCAGAGAACCACTTGGATGGAGTCTGCTCCGGGACGTGATCCACAGGCAGGCAGCAAGAACCTGGCCATGCTCGGGGATCCTTGGTCACGAAAAAAAAACAAAAAACAGGCAGCAGCACAGCTGTGCGCCCCGCCCCCCACCCCCCGCCCATGGGAGACACCCCAGAACACCATCCCTGCCAGTACGCGTCCCGGCACGTGGCAGGTGCTTCAGGGGAGGTGTCTTGGAAAGCCATACCCCTGTCTAGCCACACTTTTTAAATAATTTTGCAGCGCAAGCCTGGTTTCCAATATATTGAAGTTGAGCAGACATATAATTTCCAAAAGAAGTGCTGACTCACTCCCATGGCCACGGATGTCATCCATGTATGGAGCCAGGGGGTTCCCCATTACCTGTTTGGCTTATTGACTTATTTTGTTTGTATTTTTCATGCCTGTGGATGCTGAGATCAGGCCCGAAAACCAGCCCAGTTTAGTGATCTAAGATTCTTGTTAGTGCTTGGAAAGTTTCATTCCTGACACAACTTTGCAAAAAAAGGAAATAGAGCCAAGAAGAAAATACAGGGGTACTCACTGATGCAGAACTGGCTGTACTCCCACCGGCCTGACCGCTTGCAGACCACAACCTGGTGTGAGCTGGTCCTGCTGTAGCCGGGCCGGCAGTTGTACTTCACCTGGGTCCCCTCTTCAAAGATGGTCTTGTTCAGCTGACTCGTGGGAGACGCGAAGAGTAAATTGGGGAGGGGGCCACAGCTGCCTGCCGCCGGGAAGATCGGTCCGAGGGTTAGAGCTCAGGACACAGCACCTGAACCTCTCTCCCCTGGCCCTCAAGAAGCAGAATTCCTGTCACCTGCTGATGAACGACCTGTGACTGGCCAGTCACCAGGGCTTATTGGTCAATGACGCTGACGATGAAAAGCCACAAGGATAAAAGAAAAGCTCACTCCTCTACTCGAAGGAGCTCGACTGCCTGGAAGCTGGGTTTGCCCTCTAGTCAGCCTCTAGAACCCAGATTTGCCGACACAGACCTGGAAGGGTGCCCCTGGCCTTTGCTCCAGAGAACCAGTCTCCTAGCAAGGACGTCAGGGATCTCAGGCTGCCTAGAGGCAGGTGGTAGGCAGGGTGAGCTAAGAAGAACATTTAGATCTGTGCTTCCCCCACCTCTGGGTGTGTTATCAAGGAGGAGACATGGAGTCCAGGAACCTACAAATCTCTCTGCTTTTGTTTGTTTCTGCCTTGTGGCTTCATCGGAGTCACACGATGCAGTACATGCGTGTAAGTTCCAGGTGTGCATCATCACGATTCAGCGCCCACCCACCTTCCCCGAGAGCCCTCCCCTCTGCCTGCCCACTCACCACACCCTGGCCCTTCACTAGATGGCCCCTCCCCTCTCCTTCCAGAAACCTCTACTTGGTCCATCCTGGGAAAGTCTGGTTTTGTTTTATTTAGTTCATCCAGGAGACAGAAATCTTAATCCTGCCTTCCTCAGAGGAAGTGAACGGAGGACTGATTCACCTCTGGGGAGTCCCGACATGCACATGCACAGCCTGGGGGGCTCTAGGGGGCCCCGGCAGGGACCTGGTCCAGTTGGGCCGCCCCGCAGGACAAGTTTGGGACGAGTCATAGTTGCCACAGATTGTTCTCGAAATTCCTAGAGAGGAAATCCCAGGGGGGGAGCATCTAGAAAACACTCTCTTTTATGCATAAAGCAAACTTCTAAATTCCAACAATTCCAAGTCCCCCTAATTCCAAACTCCTGGTCAAATAAACCTCTTGTTCCTGGAACTGGTGTCTGCCAGCCTGTGGGCTGGCCGGCACTGGCTGGCCGGCTCCTGTCACTCACCCAGGGCAGTGGCCAACAGAGCAGCGAGCAGGGCCGCCTGGAGCAGAGCCGGAGCCCCTGCCAGAGACCCGCACCTCCCGGGGTCTCTCAGGCGTGCCTGTGACATGATCCTGCTGAGAGAAGTCAGTTTCATGAACAGGCCTCTGGCTCCTGCTTGACCCAAAGCGTGAGAGTCCAGGCCACGGCCCATGTATCCACGGAGCATGGTCTGGGCGGGGAGGCCAGGCCAGGGAGGACAGTGTGTGGCTCCGCCGGGACTTGAGGGGCTCCACATGGGGGCACAGGCCGGCAGGGTGGGAGGGGCTGCAGCTGGCATTGGACATGAAGTTGGGTATCTGGATGCAGGGATGGCCTGTGACCTTGCTGGAAGGCCCGTGACCTTGCCAGAAGGCCCTGGGAACAGACATGCACCTGCTGGGTGAGGTGGCGAGGCCAGAGGGGCAAGACGGCCATGGGCAGGAAGAGGTCGCCCTGCAGGGGTGCAGAGGTGGTGGCCAGGTGGCAGAGGGGTCGGAAGAAGGAGGCACATCAAGCAGAACAAGGAAGGAAAATGGAAGTGCCAAGAAGCTGGTCCCTGCCCGTGTTACTGGGAACTCCAGGCCACTGTGACCTGGGAACATGCCAGCCACACCTAGCCAGAGCCACACCTAGCCTGGCTTTGTAGAAGGATCTGTATCCATACAGGAGGCAGACCTGTAGGATTGGTGAAGAAAAAGAAAAACACACGCAATGAGGGCAGTTCCGGTGCCCAAACAGTCCGTGGCAAACTGTTTAGAGCAAAGTCACGAGGGCACTCTCCTCCCCACTACGGGACAGTCCCCGCCCTGCGGGGCTGTGGGAGGTCGCTGCCCACGGAGTGCTGGGTCCCCCCTTTATCCCCACCCTGGCCGGCCATGTGTCCATAACTCCACTAAGCCCAGACCCTCTTGGGCAACGGGGACCAGTGATGCGTCCCCCTGCAGTCTCCGTCCCACAGAGCAGGGGAAGAGCTCCGTGACCCTTCGCGCTGTGTGGAGGGGCCCAGGGTGCTCACTGAGACAAGATCCACTGCCGTCCCAAAGCCCAGGTCTGGGTGCCTTCCCTCCCTGTCCCCCACACCCCCATCATGAGCTCTGCACACAGCATGGACACTGCTGCCCCGTTCAGCCACCCCAGGGCAGGGCTCAGCAGAGGCTTGGGCTTCTCAAGGCCAGGTGTGGCTTCCGCCAAAGGCGAGGCGGGGAATGTTCCTTTTGTCCCTCCGCCTTCCAGGTATCCCCATCCCTCTCTCCTCCCTGGCCCAGGGAACCCACAGCACCAGCCGGAATGGAGCAGGGGCTGTGTGCGCCCTGTGTGCCTGTGGGTGGGTCCTGGTTCCACCACCACCGGGAGCCCCTTCCTCTCTGTCGAAAAGGGGCACCTTGGCTGCTGGCATTGGCCAGCACAGGAGAGAAATGCCAGGGAGACAGTGGTGGTGGAGGCGGACTCAACTCTGCGGCCAGAACCTGCCACGATGATCACTGACCAACAGGGAGCCTCCCTGGTGGCGCAGGGGTTAAGTCTCAGCACAATGAAGGTATCACCAGCCACTGCCACCTGAGTCCATTCCCAGCCAGCAAGCTTACCCACAGGGCACAGCAGACCTGTCCTGTCTCCCTGCTATTCCCCTCAGCAGTGTATCTCAGTGGATCCACCTGTTCTGCTCCCCACTCTGTCTCTGGGGAATCCCCTCACCACCACCTCCACACCCCAGCCCTTATATGCATAAATAAATAAAAAAAGAAATCTTTAAAAAAAAGAAATCTTTTTAAAAAGTTTAAGTGATTCCAAAACATTAATTCAAAAGGAAACCTGCACCCCTATGTTCATTGCAGCACTTCTTACAATAGCTAGAGTATGGAAATAACCTAAATGCCCAAAAACAGATGAGTGGGTCAGGAAGACGTGGTCTGCACACATGGTGGAGTACTACTCAGCCAACAAAAAAGATAAACTCATGCCATTTGTGGCAACTTGGGTGAAACTGGAAGGGATGATGCTCAGGGAAATAAGCCGGAAGGAAAAAGAAAAGTATCATGTGGTTTCACTTATAGGAGGAACACAGGGGACCAAGTAAAGGATCAGGAAAAAGAGCCACAACTAGCAGGTGACTACAGATCAGAGACGTCAGCAGGAGGGGGCGGTATCAGAGCAGGAGGGGAGAGCACAAGAGTCCACATGAGGGCTTGCAGGTGTGGTGGTGGGGTTTTTATGGGGACACACCTGAGAGGAGAAATCAAACATTGTACAACACTGAGCAATGATGTAACATATATAAATAAAAATGGGAAAAAATGTAAGCGATTAGTCTCAAGGTTCAGATCAGCATTTCCAATGACTTCATTTGCAACACACCCCAGCATGCCTTAACATGCCCCCCCACACAGACACACTTGCACATGTCCTGACACATTTGCACATGGCCTCAATGTGCCTTAACACATCCCAACATGCCATGACACAGCTATACATGCCCCAACACACCCACACACGTCCCAATGTGCCCTGATACATCTGTACATGCCCCTGACGTGCCCACACATGCCCCAACATGCCCTGAGAGATCCCAACATGCCCCAATGTGTCCTAATGTAACAGGGGTCTGCAGGAAAGGGGGTTTCCAGATTCCCTGGCCTACCCATGGGAGGGTGGAGCTGAGCAGGGAGGAGAAGCTGGAGAGGAGACTGGGGAAGGAAGGAGAAGGATGGGAAGCAGGAGGAGCCTGGAGAAGCACGTGGAGCAGAGACACGTGAAGAAGCTGCGCTTGCTTCTTGGTCCTTGATGGTGGAAACAGACGTGGGTGAGACCCGGGGGGAGGTGACAGTGGCAGCTTTTATGTTGGTTTTGATTTTGCTCTTTTCCTCCCAGACTTGTCTGGCCGTTTCTGCCCCTTTCCTGTGGGTCCCACCAGGAGGAGCCTTAGATTGTGGCAGGCTCTCGGGCCTCAGAGGCCCTGCTTGGGCCATCCCTGTTGGACTGGACATTGACCCACAAGGGACGGGTGACTTCAGTTGCTTGCTTTGGAAACTCTATTCTTCCCCTTTTCTGTATCGGACGCTAACTGGATTCAAGCTCCTTTCCATTAAAGGCCTTATGCACTAGAGTATGGTTTGTCTTAAGATGGCAGAATTTATTTAGAGCAGACAGGTTTGGGTGTTCTGGGGTGCCCCTCTCTCTGCCCTGTAACACTAACACATCTGCACACACCCCAAGATGCCCCAAACACACCCTCTCCCTCCACCGCTCCTGGGCCTCAGTGCCCTGTCCCCTGAGAGGGCCCTGGCGAGTTCCCCGCTCCCACCCTCATTGGCCACCAGAGTTGCCCTTGGGCCCAGACACAGCAGAAGCTTGTCAGCAGCCCTCCCCCACCACAGTCCGGTTTCCTTCACCCAGTGGGACCACAGCCAAGGCCTCCGACATTTGTCAGACGATGGCCAGGCCGGTGCCGCTCTCTTCCTTAAAAGCAATGTAAGAAAAAAACTGCGCCCCTGCCTAGCCCAGCTCTCCCGCTCCCGCCCCCTTGCTGTGTCACCAAGACCTCCTCCCAGCGCCCCCGGGATGCTTGAAGCCTATAGCCCCCGCTACCCACGAGGTGACCCACTGACCAGCAGAAGCCAAAGGCTGTGCGGGAGCCTCAGGCGGTTGCTTCAGAAAGAAAACCGCCTTGACGGGACGTCCTGAGCCTTCCCGACCCGGTCTGCGCCCTCGCTGCTAGTAACTGCTGCACCAAAAGCTCTCAAATTCCAGCACAGTCAGCTGGTAAGGGACTCAATGGATGTGATGGGTGAATGATTAACAACAGAAGTTAAGTTTCGGTGTCTCCTGGTGGCCTCCCTTGGCACTGGCCCCGTTCTTGACAATGTGTCGCAATTGTTGATTTTCCCCTCTGCCAGCCGTTTCCCCTAAATGAGAAGGTGGTATGCACTTGCTGCCAGGCTCTGCTCTCTTCCATCAGCACCAGTGGCTTCATGAGCTGTGTCAGCCACCGAAGACCACAGCTCGTGAGGGTTCAAAGCAGACCCAACCAAAGGTGCCGCTCTCCAGGCTGCCAGGCCCCACGGGCTTTAGGGCTCGGGCCGGGGTCCTCCACTACACCCCGAGAAAGTGCAGAGGACAGCACTGTGCACACTGGCCGCCTCCAGCTCCGGCTTTGCAGCCAAGGACACAGCCAGACCCCCACCCTTCCAGCACCGCCAGCGGAGCCAGCACCAGTGTGTCCAGCAGCCGTGTCCTCCAGGCACGCTTGGGGACGCCAGGAAGGGCTGGCCTCACCTGCCGGTGTGTGGGCCCTGGGGGCTGCCGGCCCAACATTACCCTAGCACATGTTGGCCTCAGGGCTGAGCTGTGTGTGCTGGGGGACTGCATTAACAGCAATCCTTCCCCACAACTCCCACTTTTCTGTCAAAAAACGTCAAAAGTCCCATCGTTTCCCAGACAGGAGTGGAGCCACGTGAGGCTTTGAGGAAGATATGGGCTTCCGGCTTTAGTGAATCTGGCCACAGTAGATGCGGGTGGGCACAGAGCCCGCGCTGGCTGCCGGTTTGGTGGGAGCGAGCTTCCACGGCCAGGTCAGAATTTGTGGTTGGTGTCCAGACGTCCTAGAGCTGGATCATCAGTTCCACCCCTTCCTTTCCTCCCCCGGGACTGTTCCTCATCCTTCTCTCCAGCCTGTGTCGTCCTGTGTACCTGAAGGAGGTCCCCGCTTCGCGCCACCCCTCAAACTGCGCTCCTGCTCTCTCCTGTTGTGGAAGAGACTGGCTGGTGTTTCCCTCTCTGTTTCCGTCTTTCATCCTGACATGCTCCCCACATCCTGCTCCAACCTCAGATCCCATCTTCCTTTTCTCGTGAGATGCCAATGTCTCAAAAGACAGCTCAAGGCCATCCCTGCCCCCACCCCCGCCCACTGCTGCCATTCTTCTCACCTCCACCCCTCCCCCTGGAGGTCTTCAAGGTGAGTCCTCCCCTAGCAACACTCCAGACTCCTACCTGTATCTCCCAGCAGCCCTAGCTGCCCCCTCCAGTTTCCTCCTCATCCCAAATGAAGACATACCCCTCTTTCTTCTTTTCCAACATTTCCTCTCTGCTTCCATAGTTTCCTCACCTGCTTTCAAACCTTTACCTTCCCGCAGCGGGGTGCGGGGTGGGTGGGAACGCCAGCACTACCTTCCTGCAGCAGAGTGCCCACACTACCTTTCCACAGCAAGGGGTGCCTGCACTACCGGATTCCCCTCTACTCTAAACTCAAGTCTCCGTGTTTTGCCTACTGGCTGTCTTAGAAGCATTTCATACTCCGAACACCCAGAGGGGCTTCTCGCTGCTCCCGGGAGTGACCCCTTCTGACCCCGGCAGGCACCCAGGCTTCCGGGAATGGATTTCAGGCTCACCTTTAAACCCTGAAGCCCTCATCTTCCAGTCCAGCCAGGAAGCTGTTTACACTGGATTTAGCAAGGTCTCCGGTACTGTTTCTCTTCTATCCCAGCCCCCACCCCCAGGTCAGAGCGTCCCTCATGTGGATGGTGGTTGCAGCCCTTCTGTGGCCTCTCAGTCCCCTCTGCCTGCTCCACCATGCTCAGGCCCCAGCGCCTGGCTTGAGGCCATCCCTCCCCACCGCCCATGATGTCCACCATGCGCCCTGAGAGGCTCTCAGCCCCTGGCCCTGGCCTGGCGACCCCCAGGCCACCCTGTATGTCCCTGCCCGGCCCTGCCAGTCCCCGCAGCGCTTTGGAGAAATTACATTAAAAACTTGATGCAAAGCATTAGAAACGTGTAAGGAGACAAGACCCGCAGCTTCACGGCCTAAGACAACACTGCGGGTCCGTGTCCCAGGACAAAGTCTTTATTCACGTCACTGCGGTCGGAACCCTGCCTTCTTCATTTCCAGATAATACTTCACTTCCTCCAAGGAGAAGCCATTTTCCTTTAACCTTTGCATAAAGTTCTCTATGGCTTTGCAGAATTCCTTTTTCTCCTGAAAGGCAAGCTGAAGAGCAACAGCATCAGATCCCAGGGAAGGGCTGACTCCAGCTGCAGGCCAATGCTGGCCAGCTCTGCAGCTGGTGCTGAGGGGCACTGGCGGGGCCTGGAGGCCGCGGAAGCTTCAACAGGCAGGGGTCCTGATGACAAGCATGACTGGGGTCGCTTTGCTTAGTGTCCCAGAGCCCAGTGTCCCAGTGTCCCAGAGGGCTTCCCAACACTCCATAGCAGGCCCTGGCTGACATGACAAGCCTGCCCACCGCACAAGGAGCCCTGAGGCAGCTGGTGCTAGCAGGTACAGGCCCGGAGCGGCAGCATGGGGGCCAGCCCACAGCCAGCACCCCACCAACCCACCCGGAGCGCCCACCTGATCGTGTGCCCAGAGCCGGAGCCCGAGTACAGCCCCAGATTGGCGCTGCACCACTCACCAGGGCCTCCTTCAGCTGTGCCTGGGCCACTGCCTCCGGGGAGTCTGGGATCCGCTCGCACTCGGGGGGTTCACCAGCCCAGTCCCCGTCCACGCACCGCCGCTCCTGCACGCCCACCAGGCGGTACCTGCGGGGCACGCAGCCATGGTAGGGCCGGGTTTCAGGCTTCAGAGATCCCACGCTGCCCTGGCCCCACCACCCTGGCTCCTCAAGCGTGACACCCCAAGAAGAAAGCAAGGGAGAGTCCCCGGAGGTGCTTCAGTCAGAAAAGGGGAACGTGAGAGTCTCGGGACATTATTGCACAGTGCCTCAAGTCGGGGCGGGGGCTTCATCCCCAAATAATGTCAGAAGATGCGGTCCACGGTGCTCTGGAATGGAGTGGAGAGCTGGAGCACCCACGGCAAACCCTGAGCGAGCAGGCTGTGGCTTCTGGTCAGAGGCGCGTGTGTGCTAGCCGCACAGCCTGGGGATACGTGGGAGCTGGGAGGCCAGCGGGCTGCACACCCAGAGTTAGTGGGGGCAGGAGCTAGAGCAGGCAAGGGGCCAGCACCTAGTCAAAGCTAGACGTCGTCAGGCCTGCAGCTGCATCGCCGCTCCCCCTTGCTCAGAACTACGGTCACAAGGCCAGGAAAGCAGGCGCCAGGACAGGCAGAGCAGCCAGGGCCAGCACTGGCCACACTCACCTCTCCTCACAGTGGTAAGTGATGACTGAGCCTGAGTTGAAATCTTCTCCTTCAAAATAGCCATGAGACAGATTCCCTGGAGGGCCACAGTGTCCTGAAGGGCAGGGGTGCCAGGGTGACGGCTGTGACGTCCAGGGTGGTTGATGGCAGGGCCCCCAAGAGCAACTGGCCATGGGCACCCGGATGGCCTCCGCCCATCCCTGTGGTCAACTGCACTTGTCCTGGGACGGAGCATCCCCACCAGTCATGATCTGACGCCCCCCATCTCACACCCACAGCTATCTGAGAAAAAAGCCAAGCGCGGGCAGCGGTGAGAGCAGCTGCCCCCAGGCGGGAGGAAAGAGGCAGGAGCCAGGACAGGCCAGCCTCCCCAAGACCAGCGTGAGAGCCGGGACAGGCCGAGGCCTGTGGAAAGGAACTGGATGGACAGTGGGCTAGGTCGGGCCCTCTGCACACCATGTGGCTCTACGGAAGGGAGTGGCAGACAGTCGGCGGCTGTCCCCCTCGGCTCCTTCCTGCCCAAGAGGTGAGGAGGTTAGCTATTACCTGGAGACCCATCTTAGCTTGAAGATGCTGATCAAGATTAAGGCTAATTAAGAATTGCCTGAAACCTTCGAGGGGTTGCGTGAAACTGCCAAGCACAGCAGGGTATGTGGAGAAAAATCCTCCATCTGTAAAACAGTGGTGCACAAGCTCCCAACGACAGCAGCGTGGGGCCTAGGGGAGAGCTGGCCACAGTGCCTGCCGTGTCCTGCAGCTTGTCTTGGTCTGTGCCTCTGACCATGGGGGAGTAAGGGAAGCCCCTATACTTCCCCTTGGCCTCCTTGCAGCTCTAACACTTTTCTTTAAAAATTTCTTTAAATACAGAAATAAATGTCCAATGTTAGGATGTACCCTTCCAGTCAGGAAAAAGACAAACCTCGCAGGCAGACCATAGGTCTGAGGCCAACCATGGGCTGTGGGGGGGCGGGGGGGCGCGTCAAGACAGGAGAGAAAAGAGCATGGGAAGTGGTGATAGTCTTGGTGCTGTGGTGGGAGAATTACAGGGACTACACCTTAGGGGAGAAACCAAACAGCACACAAAAATGAACAATGAGGTAAGAAAACTTTTTTTTAAAAATTAAAGATAAAGGAATGTAGCCTTTCAAATCAGATTTTTCATTGATTTTCTTTATGTTTTTTAAGTTTCAAATATGGGGTAGGATTGTACTTTCAGAACCCAGGCCTATGCGTGGCCTGTCCTGCATTCTCATCTGGCTCTGTGTCCTGGTATAGCCACCTCATGGCCGCGTTAGCCCCTTGGAGGGGAATGCCCCTTAGCAGCCCGGGCCTGGTGTGGGCTCGAGGCTGTGGCATGCCAAGAGCATGGCTCTGGAGGGTTACAACACAGCATCAATCAAGTTCTTGGGGCTTTAGGTATGTTTCGCAAAGAATGATGTTCTGTGAGCCAGCAATCACTCCCTAAGTCTGCTCTGTGGGAGGAACGCAGAAACACAAAGGGTTGTGTGAGGACATCACGACAGCAAACAGCTGGGATACAGCAGGTTGGTCAGGATGGGGATGTGGGTCAGGTTAAGGCAGGCCACCCGCTTAAGACCGAGCCCCCTCCCTGCTGATCTGAGAGTGAGTCCCAGGCGTGTTGTTATGTTAAAAAGCAACTTCAAAAGTATGTGTGGCAAAGCTGGGTTTTAAGGCATGTGTTTGTTTGAGTATGTGTGTGTGTTTACAATGTGCGTGTGTGTTTATTTACAACATGTGTGTGTGTTTATTTATAGCGTGCATGTGCGTCTATTTACAACATGCATGTGCCTATTTACAATGTGCATGCATGTTTATTTACAATGTGCATGTGTGTGTTTACAATGTGCATGTGTGTTTATTTACAGTGTGCATGTGTGTCTGTTTACAATGTGCATGTATTTGTGTGCAATGTGCACACGTGCCTGTTTGCAATCTCTGTATAAGCACGAGGAAAGCCATCCACACCCGAGAGTCATCTGAGATGACAGCGCGTGGGCAGGCAGAGCAGTGACAACACTCACGCTATGGGCTTCTGCAAGGGCCGCTCTGCCTGTTGGTTCTGCTTTTGCATATTCTCCAGGTAAAAGCCTTAAGTGACTACCTCAGCATCGTGGCCGAAGCACCAGAGCCCCAACTGCCCGCACTGGGCGGAGCAGGGGTAATCCTGAAGGGGATAGAAAAGGGGGCGCCCTAGGGAGGCCTGGCAGCACTGCGCACTTACTGCTCTTGCAGATAGGGAGGGGTGGCTCCCAGGCGTGGTCCTCCCGGCACTGGCTCCAGCTGCTGCCCTTGAGAACATGGCCCTCGGCACAGGTGAACGTGACATTGTCGCCTGCGCGCGCCAGCTCCCAGGTGCTGCTCTTGCCGTGGTGGAGCACAGGATCTGGACAGTGGCCAGCTGAGGAGAGCATGGCAGGGCCCTCAGGCCGCAGTGGCACCAGCCCCTGGGAGCCAGGAGAGCCGCACAGCTGCGCAGGCCCAGGTGTGTCCACATGGGGGAGGGTGCAGCCGCGTGGTGTCCAGCGTCACTGAGATGACCAGGGCTGTCATTGGCCACCCTCTCACAGCCCAGGGCCCTGAGGCTGAGCCCGCACAGCACCCAGCACAGTCGCCGGCTCCTCTCCAGCGCCCCGTCCAGCGGACAAAGGAGTGGCACAGAGGGCGGGGACGTGGCCCCACTGATGCCACAGCCGTGCAGTGGCTCTGGCTGGGAAAGGGAGCTCAGTGCCCCCAGGGGAGCAGCAAAGCTGGCTGCGGGCTGGCAGCGGCCCAGGCCTATTAGACCAGAGCTGCAGGAGGAGTGTGGAATTTAACGTGGTAAGAATTTTCAGAAAAAGAAACTTAAAGCCACCTGCTATGGCACAAATCACAGCCTCCCCAAGATAGCTTTACCATGTGGAAGACACCCCCCACCAGAGGGGGGGTGTACTAGTACTAGTAACCCAAGTACTGATGGGTCAGCACCAGTCAGGTGCCACTGCGGCCCGAGAGATCCCAGCTGGAAGCCGTCAAGTTGGGTGCGGCTTGCTGAGATGGCTGTGGAGCAGAGATGGCTCAGGCAGGGGCGGCTCACCGAGGCATGTGGGGGCAGGGGCGCTCCACTGCCCAGAGGCGTCGCAGAGAAGGGTCTTCTCTCCCACGAGGTGGTACCCATTCACACAGAGGAAAGTGCCCACGAGGCGTCCTTCCTCCTCCTTCACAACAAGTATGCTGTTGTCCACGGAGGCAGGCTCTGGGCAGCGCTCTGCGGGGAGGGGCAGTCCAGGCTCAGGGGCAGCCTGAGACCCTGCGACCTTGCACCGGCCTTGGCTGCCTCCTGACCCTGAGCCTGGACTCCACCAGGCCCCACATGCTCCCTGCCAGGATGCCTGGTTCACAAAGAGCCCAGGATAACACTCAGCTTCAGCCCCAGGCACCCTCCCCGACACTGTCCCTTTGCAGGGAGGTGTATGACAGAGGAGCCACTTCCCATGTTTGAGATTTGGGGCCTTTTTTGCTCCCTGGACAGAAGGAAAAAGTCAAAGGGGGGGGCCACTGGGTCCAGGAGCACCACCCCTCAGTGCCCTAAGCTGATGAGCACAGAGCATCTGGGAGCCAGCTGGGACTGTTCAGTAAAGAAGACGCGTCCATTCGTTGAACTTCCGGAAGTGCGGGGAGGCTGGCACTGCCAGGTGAGACCACGCTGGGACCAAGCCAGGTTAGTCAGGGTACATACCCTCCATGGCAGACGCCAGACAGAGTGCCACCAGCGCGCACACCTGCCGCAGCAACATCTGCCTGCCGGCCCCGGCCACCCAAACAGCTGGTCTGGCTTGAGCGGCTCTCTCCCAGCCTCACCGGCCTTGGCCCGTCCAGCAGTAGGTGGGGGTCCCGGTGACTCCACCCCTGCAAGAGCAGCAGGGGGGGAGGGGGAGGGAGAATGTCGGGTGGCAGGCACAGCCGAGGTGGAGGGACAGAAGCTGAGGTTCAGATGCAGGCCCACCAGGTACCTCCTGCCCCTCCAGGTGGCCGTCCTCTGACCCAGGGGCTCGTACTGTGGGCTAGGGCCAACGGTCAGGCAGCGGCCGTCCCTCAGGTCAATATTTGCCAGTGTCCACCTCCTGCACCTCATGCTGGGTGGAGGCGGTGCCAATCTGTGGACTCCTTCCCCAGTGCAGGCAGTCTAGGATGGACATTGGTGAGCAGCCTCCCAGCCTGGGTCGTGGTGGATGGCTTCCCAGTGAAGAATGCCCTGAAGACACCCTGAGGGACTCTAGGCCCTGCAGCAACACGTCCTCACTGCCAGACCTGCCAGGCTCCCTGCCCTCCTGCTGGGCCAGGCTGGTGAGTCCAGAGCGACCCATGGGGCCAAGAGGAAGGGGTGGGCACTCTGGTCTGGGGATGAGACCGTCCAGTCGCTCTGGGCTCTCCTGCTCCCCGTCATGGCACTGAGGGCTGATGGCTGGCCATCCACACCGCCGTTACAAGACGAGATGAAATCCTCACAGTTTTAACCTCTCGTAAATCTACAATTCACACCACAGATAAAGCTGGAGCAGGCCCCGCGCTCCCCACCTTCCTCAGGCCTGGGGCCGCCATCTTGCTCAGGAAGGTCAGCCCTGAGTCTGGTTTCTGCCATAAAGCTGGCGTGTGCCCAGGGGCCACAGGCTGCAGGAGCCATGCAGGCACCACAGCCCCCACCCCACCCCCACCCCACGCACATGTGATGTCTCAGCTGGTAAGTCAGTGACCTAGTGATTGTGTAAATCTAAAACACGTGTGTCAGAGGCCTGACTCGCCAACTCACCTGGACATGAAGAGGCTTCTGGCCCTAGGAGTTCAGGAGGTACTTGCTTTGGTAGCCAGCAGAGGACCCGTCTGAGGTAACTTTTCTAACAGAGCAAACTTGTTTCTCTCCTGCATGGTGAGAGCCGTGGTTCCGGGCATCGGCTTGGTGGCTGCAGAGATGACCAGAGTCTGGCTGAACAGGCCTGGGCCTGGGGGGTCCAGAGAGGCTGGCATACGCCCCAGCTCTTCACCCTGGTCTCTCCTCACCCTGGTCTCTCCTCCCAAGGAGCTGCCCCAGAGCCTTCCCAACAGGGTCTGTCAGAACTAGTCCCTGTGGGGTCAGCAGCCCCGTGGGGTCAGCTCCCTAGGTGACTACCAGAACCTGGGTCCAGACCACCATCTGCCACGCCCCGGCCTGTGTCCCCACATACCAGGCCCGGAGGATGCACATGATGCTCGTGCTGTTGGCACATCTATAAAGGTCAGGAGCCCTGGTCTGTCCGTGTAACCATGGCGGAAGCAGCATGTTGCTGCTGGGCCGACTGCATCCGTGCTCCAGCCACTCAGAATCACCATCCCACTCAGAACCACTAGGGCTTCCCTCTGACGTGACCTCACTCTCGTTTTCCGTGACATGCACGTCAGTGCACATCATGTTGGAGGCAGAGACTCTGAACACCCCCAAAGTTTGAGTCCAGTCTGTCAGAGAAGTAGAGGAGGGAACTTGAACTTTAAGGGTTGTTGGAGTCTGGTGTGACAGCTGGGGTCCCGCACCCTCATAGCCCAGGCTAGTGTGCTGGCGGTGGCCAGTCCACCCTCCAGGGGGCTGGGCAGTGAGGGGGTATCAGGGACTGCAGCACACCAGCGGGAGCGTGAGGAGGCGCGTGGGCAGCACCTGGGCCGTCCTCGTGGTACACCCTGATGTTACAGCAATTTCACAAGTTCTGCGGTGTGCTCTGAGTGAGCCCGCAGATCTTTCTCCATGTAACTGAGAAGGTTAAGGTGCTGTCACAAATCATCCTTACACAGTCTGCGAGGCTTCCGGGATGAGCCTCAGGCCAGAAGCAACCCAGGGTGGGGTGCATGCGGGAGGCAGGGGGTGGGGTGGGGTGGGGGATACACGTTGCTAGCGCGGAGCCGCTCTGGAGATGTTCTCAGAGAGCTCAGCAGGGCAGGCCTTGCGTGTCTGGCTCCAGGCCTCAGAGGGCTGCAGGGGCCGCCCCTCGTGGGGGGGCCTGCGTGAAACCTCCACAAGTCCTAGGTGAATGGGACATGAGCACTCCTGCCCTGTGCGTGTCAGGGGACACCCTTGGGCTGGCAGCCAGTGAGGCGGACGCGGAGTGTCTGCACCTGTGCTGCGGGGCAGGGACTGCGCTGCACAAGGAGGTGCTGAGGAGCGAGGGCCTGGCCCTGAGACCCAGAGACCCCACCGGCCTGGCTGGGCCCTCACAGGCAGCGGTCACCTGTGCACAGATCCTGGGGGCATTGCAGGGGTCCCCGCTCAGGGGCTCAGCAGGATGACTTTTGGCCTTTCAGGAAGCAAAGGTGAGCTGCGTGGAGGGAGCCATGCAGGGGTGACATCGCGTGTGTCCCGGTCACCCTGGGCATCGGATGCATGGCACTGGCGGTGCCTCCCTCCACTGTGCAGGCGAGGCTGAGATGGAGGGACGTGATTGGCGCCTCTGCCTGGGGAGAGAACCGGAGGGCAGCTGCTCTGGAGAGGAACCACGGGACTGCCAGCTGAGGGGACTGAGTGACGCCACACAGGTGGCACCGTCCTGTCAGGAGGGGGCAGCATGTGAGGGGTGGCTGTGGGATCTCACCCGCAGAGTCTGATGGCTTCGGGAAGGGCTGTGCAACACCAGAGGGCGTGCTGGCCCAGAGAAAGCATACTGGTGTGCCCTTGGGCCGTGAAGGCGCTGCTCTGCCTGCACCTGGGCTGCAGCAGGCATGGGTCTTGATCAAGAAGGAAGACTTTGTGCTGGACAGTCTGGTTTTCTGAGGTGACACTGGTGTGTGGGTGTGTGTGGTGTGTGTGTGGTGCGTGTAGTGCATATACTGTGTATGTGGGGTGGTGTTTGTGGTTTATGCGGTGTGGTGTGGGTGGGGGGGACTGTCACCCAACTCCTGGCCCCCCTCTCAGGTGGGCTCAGGTTACCCCAAACTCCGGGAGCGGTGTCCAGCTCTTCCAGTGTGTCCTGGCTCTGTCACATTCTCTGAGGCTCAGCACTGACGGGGGCTGGTGTCCCTGGGGAGGAAGTGCGGCCGGAAACTGCGGGACTGTCACCTGGGGTGTGGCTATGCCCCCTGCAGGGCTGGTGTGGGTGTGTCAAGAGGCCCTGGCAGTGCAGGGACAAGGATGCTCCATCGGGGGAGGGGGGAGGGGGGTGTCGCCCTGCTGATCCCACATCTGCAGGACCCAGGACCTCACCTGGGGTGTGGGCTGGCCCTGCGTCTGACCCTTAGACGTGGCTCTTGTGGCCATGACACAGTCACCGTGGAGGCATCACTGCTGAGACTGGGAGGACCCCAGCCTCCCTGCACCCGCTTTGGTGGCGGTGGTGGCTGGGGACACCTGGCAGCCTGGGGTACCCAATGCACTCCCTGAGGGCTGCTCCCGGGGCTGGGTTGGAGCTGGACGCAGGTGACACTCACACTCAGGGGCTCTCGCTGGACCTGAGCTGGCCGCGGCCCAGCCCCACCTACCTGGAGATGCACGTACTGCACCTGCAACCCGCAACCCCCTGGCCCAGGGTCCTGCCCCATCACTCCATCTGCAAGGGTCCCCAAGGGCCCCGGTCCTCGGTCTTGGAGGGGTGGGTCAGGATTGCCATTGGCCTTCTCCTTCCCAGCAACATTCCCAGCAGGCACAAGCTGTCCCAGCCAGTGCGTGGAGACAAACAGGGCCTGCACTGTGTTGGAAGGTTCTGGAATGTGATGGGGCAGTGATGGCCCCACTGAGTGCTTGCACTGGTGCTGATGATGGGCGACCCAGAGAAAATAGGCAGCAGAAACCCGGGGGTGGCCTGACCCCCAAGAAGCCTTCACACGGATGCGCTCTTGGCCTGTGCTTGGCAGCACTGCATGTGTGGGGAGGCACAGCTCTGGCCGGGGACCTCATGATCATGCTTGGTTATAAACAGCATTTATTGCAGTTGTTCTCATGGCAGCAGTGGCGCTGTCACAGGTGACACATGGCACCTCCAGGAGACACGCTTCACGCCAGAGAAGCACGTCTCGGCTACTGAGACTACACATCGTTATACACAGTGCTCAAGGACATGGACGGTGCCCAGCCCGCCGGTGTCCACTCGCAGGGACAACGCCCAGTTCTGGAAATCTAAGGAGATGCAGACATTAGACCTAAAGCTCCTGCTTCTAGCAGCTTCTCTGAGATGGGCGAGGCGGCTCAATCCTGACTGGGCACGCGCACGCTCATGCGGGCATCAGACCCCGGGACGAATAAATATCTCAACAAAAATAAGTGACTGGAGACTGCGGTGAGTGTGGAGGGAGCTGCAGGGAGCTATCCCCCCACCCCGGCGCCGCCCAGGCAGGTCCCCAGGTCCCCCACACACCCCTCTCGCCATGACCCTACTGCCCAGCAAGGGGTATATGAGTGAAAGGGGAAAAACGAACATTTGCAGACTGAAAATGCACGATTCTCCACAAAGGGGTCTGCCTCGGGAAGCTTCCGAGGCCTCCTTCAGGGCCGTGACCAGCAGCGCAGACCCGACATCCGCCGGCCTGGCCACGCAGGCCCCCTCCCCGCACTCACAGCCAGCTAGGGGCCCATTTTGAAATGCATGCAACTCCTGATGGGGCTGATTCTGGGGAGGCCTCCCCACTTCTTGGGTTCTGTGGGGGTGCCAGGTCCCCTGCAGTGCTCAGTGCCAGTGATCCCCGGCAGGAGCCACAGTCACCGGATATGGGGCAGGGCCTGTTCTCAGGGGCCCCGGGCCAGAACTGCTCGGCCACCACAGGTGCTGCCCCCAGAGGGATCCAGTGTGCCTTCTCCAGCGCCCTCCCTGCGCCTAGGGAACCATCTCCAGCGTGACAATGAAGTGCTGGGGACACATGTCCCATGGCCCACTTGCCGGGTGCCAACAGGCCCTTCTGCATGTGGCTTTGCTACCAATGGACACCGCCCACTGTGAAGGCCATGTGCACGTGGGCAGTCGTTGGGCCGGGGCCACAGTCCCATCTTGCTGCTTGGGCCCGCCAGTGCGGAGAGTCAGGACTCGCTGACGAGCTGCTAAGGGCTTCAAGCAAAGCTAAGGCTTCAGTGCGGCTGTTATTCTGTCAGGCGGGTCCCCAAAGGTCTGATCCCACTTAACTTCCTGTTTGTGCCCTGGGGCCGACATCCCAAGCCGTCGGTGGATCCCGGTCCCCAGAGGTCGGCTCGGCCTCCACACCATCAGGACGGCGACAGGAGGGACGCTGCAGGGCCAGGCCCATGTGTGGCCCGCACTGCCTCTGCCTAGAGCAGGAGAGGGAGAGAGCACAAGTTACCCCAGCCGGCTGCCGGGCCAGGCCTGGCGCCTGGCCAGGCCTGCACTGCTTCCTGAGGACGCCGGAACCCGGGTGTGGCCAGGTGCCCACATAGCTCTGTGCCCACGAGGGTAGGTGGGAGCTGCAGGGAGCCCCATGTGAAAGGAGTGTGCTGGCCACAGCCACCACAGCCAGGCCCCGGGGGCTCCGGGTGCGCAGTCACTGCCGTCCAGGCCGAGGTCAGTCCGCATAGCGGAAGCCAGCTTCTCCCCAAGCCCCTGCACGCACTGTGTTCCCCAGACAGCATTTGTGGTGTCTCTCGCTAGGGCCATAAGCGATGCGGTTACTGAAGGTTCTGATGCGGGCACCCGGGGCCCAAGTCTCACATCTAATGCGGCTCAGGGTTGGGGGGGTGCAGCTGGGACAGGTGCCCTCCCCCTCTGCGCCCTGTGCCAGGAGAAGACGCAAGCCCCTTCACCCCACTGCAGTCTCCTCAGACATGGGTGGTCACGTCGCAGCCCCTGCATTCTCAGAGACCCTGAGGTTTTCACGAGGGAGGATGGCCACAGGCCACGCGAGGCCGTGCAGGTGAAAGTGATTGTTTTTTTACTGTGTACAGGCACCAAAAACACAGCTCCAGGCACCTTGGCATGTCCTCCCTGTCTGCCAGGAAGGGGGGAGAGAGCCAGGACACCAGAGCCCCAGGAGCTGGCCACTGGCTTCGGCTGGTATGAGCTCCGGGAGAGCAGCTCAGTTGAAGTGTTGGGGTACATAAGCAGGGGGTGGGGGGGCAAGCACAACCCAAACACAACAAAACATCCAGAGCCTTGGGATAGATGCAGGAGACTCAACAATTTTATTTACCCATTCTTTACACACACACACACACACACACACACACACACACACACACACGTGCGCGCGCGCACTTTAAATACATGTACACACACCTTATGTGGCTTGGAGTGTCAGATTTTGACATCGGGGTCACTGACTAAATAAGACTCACGCTCCCTTCAACAAAGCTGGGTCTGCAGGACCTCCGCTGCCTGGTCTCCCTGAGGGTCCCCATTCCACCAGGGCTCAGCCCACACCCAGCCCTCCCAAGAGCCCACGGAACCGCAGCCACATGAAAAGGGGCCAATCTCCTCACTTCAAAGCATCCAAGCACACGTGAGTGACGTGGGGGATGCCGGCCCCAGCCTGGGGGGGCGGGGCAGCGGGGCGGCATAGCGTGCCTCAGCTTGTGAAGCTGCTCTTTGAAAGCGAAATTCAGTGCTCATGCACACGAGGCTACAAGTGCAGCATCATCCGAGCATCTGTGGCAGCCGCAGCAGGGACAGGGGACAGGAGCGCAGAGCAGCGACACTGTGAGGCGTGCCCAGGAGCCGGGACACAGGTGACAGCAAGGAGGGGTCGCCACTTCAGTCTTTACCTGCCACACACTGATGCCAGCGGCTGCTCCTCTACAAGCCACGCTCCTCCCCTCCACCCTGGCCCCCGGCTCGTGCACATGCCAGAGGGCCCTGCTGGTCCGTCCTTGGCTGACACGAAACTTTAACACCATAAAACACAAACACCAAAGCGCACACAAAACCCTGTAAGTCTACCGAGTGTTTTGAAAATGCACACATTTGGGGGTTCAGTGAGACCCGAGATGAGTGCAGCTGGGGAACTGGGCTGGTCGGTCATGGGCCTCCCCTCTGCTCCAGCCACCCAGGCCCTGAGCATTTCTCTTGCTCACAGGAGAACTTCAAGGATTTGTTCCCAAACGACCTCGCCAGCATCTTAAAGATCAAACATGGGTTCAGAGAAGAACCCTGGAATCTCTCCTGGACCACTTGAACACTCAGTGTGGGACGCCCCTGGCTCCTCCTCACAGCAGCTCAGGATGCAGCCCCAGGCCCAAGGAGCTTTAGAGACTTCCCCATGGCACAGGACTGGGGGTGACAGGCCCCTCACAAGGGGTCTCCTCTCCTCTCAGAGGCGGCGCAGCCCAAACACAGCCCACGAAACGCTCTGCACCTTGCCTGATCTCCTCGCCCCAAAGCATGGGATCCCATCTCGGCCAGGCCCTCCAGACCCACTCAGCTTGCCTGGGGCCCCCACCTCCAGCCCCAGGAGCCTCATGGTCAATGGCAAGAGAACAGGTGAGGCATTCCCAGGCCGAGCCACATCCATGCCCGCCTCCAAGTAACTGCTGCTTGTGTGATGTCCTCACATAGCCATGCCCACTCTCACCCCTGAGGACCAGACCACACATGCCCTCCTGGCACCTGCCAAGGAAGCACAGGACAGCTGGGGCGCCGGTTCTTGGAGACCGACTTCAGGGAAACAACGCACCAGAGACCCGGCTCCTCCAAAAGCGTCACCCAGTGCTGCCAGGACGACCACGGCACCAAAACGCTGGCAGTCCCCCAGCCTGCTGCATCAGCCTCCCTGCTGGGGCGCAGGTTCCAGGCCGTGTGGAACACAGATGTGGCCAGACCCTAAACACAGGCACCCGAGACAGGCTGGGTGGAACTTCAAAAGCTCCACAGGCCCCAATAAGCACGCAGCGGGATACCAGGTCTCCGGTGCCCAGTGGGCACTCACAAGTGGTCAGTGAATTCACCTCTTTTACCAACCCCAGGACATGGCTGGACTCGGGAAACAGCCCTGACCCGTGTGTGCGGCCAGACTGCCTCTGGCGAGGCCCCCAGAAGCTCAAACCCATCTGCCCCAGAGAAATGAACTGAGTTGATGCCCAGGGCCTAGACCCCCAGGGACATCACAGTGGGGAGGGGCTCCCCGATGGGGGTCGCTGAACTCACCCATGCTTTGCTACATCAGGAACAAGAATTGCTGATGCAAGATTTATTTTTTAACTCAGAGAAAGGAGTGTGTTGAAAGAGACTGGAAACAATGCACAGCCCTGCCCGCCCCCACCTGAACCAATGCTTGCCCCAACTCCAGGGGGATCCCAGAACCTAGTAGACTGGATGAAAGCCTAGGACAGTGCCTGGGAGAAGTTGTGCAGTGGGCCAAGCTGCGCCCAGAGCAGAGACCCCCAAACCCAACCCCAGGCCCAAGGTCTCCTCCCTCAAATCCCAGTCCCGGGCCCAAGGTGCCTACAGGCCTCTGCCTGGCGCGCGCAAGAAACCACAGCCAGGACACTGGTACACCGAGTCAGGTCCTGAGCGCTCAGGCTGTCTCTTGAAGAGATGGAACTGGCCCAACATATAGTGGCCAATGACATGGCCCAGCACACAGGAAGAAAGCCGGGCTCCTGTAGGCCAACAGCACAGCACACAGCACCTCCAAGGGACTGAGCCAGGGTGGGCGCACAGGGGCAGGCTGGGGGCCGGGACACCCCAAAGTCACATGGACTGCAGCCCCGGCCCATACACGGACACGCACGAGCTCAGGACCCAGACAGACAAGAGCCAGTGAGGGGCAAGTGACGCACCCCCAGCCCGGCCACTCACCAGGGGAGCACCCTGCCCCTCCTGCAAGCCCCCAGGGGAGGCCAGTCTGACTGAGGCTGGGGTGGCAGGGGAGGGGAGGCAGCATCTCAAACTGCAGCCCAGGCTGGTCTGGAAACCCCTTGGGTCTGAAGGGCTCAGGGGTGCAGGGACTGAGGGGGGAGTGCGTCCTCAGTGACTAGGGACAGGGGCCAGCCTGAGGGATGCCGTGTCACGTCAGTGCTGGGGGCTCTTCAGCTGCTCGGCCCCTTCTTGCACATCCAGGGCTGGGGGGCGTTGAGAGGTTTGTGGGGCCGGCTCCCAACACTGTAATTTCGTGGGCGCCTTACTGTATTCGAACTGGACAGCGGCGTAAAGCTGTTCCTTCTCGTCCTTATGGGGGTCTGGCTCTTGGGGAAGCTGTTCTGATTGGAAATGGAGGAACACCACATATGTGAGGGCAGCCGAGGGCTCCTGGAGGCTGACGCCGCTGTCACTGCCGCGACCTCCTCTCAAGGCGGCTCCTCAGATGGGGCCCAGCCCCACCTGGGGCTCAGGGATATGGGGCTGGGCCATGATCTTCCTTCCCGGCACAGGTGGGAGGGGGGGACTGCATGTGACAGGTTGGGGGCGACTGGGCCAGCCCCTCTGGCCCACCTGCCTCAGGCTCCTCTGCAACAGCAGCCTAGCCGAGCTCAGCCCGGAGACACCGGCACCCACTTCCACCACACGCACCACATTAACTGGGTTCCAGGAGTGGGTGCAAGGCCAAGCCTCTGAAGAGGTACAAGCACAGCTCTAGCCGCCCCCATGGAAGGAAGCCATTCCAGGTCGTGCCCCAGGATGACTGGCCCAGCTGAGGGCGGGCCCGTAGCGGACCAGGGACACTTACAGCTGGCTTGTCCCGGTGAGTGTCCACAGCCTCCACGTTGAGTTTAACTGTTTCCACCTTGCACCCTGAAGAGACAAGGACGCACGGGGTCTGAGGCAAAGCTCTGAGGAGGGTCCGACAGCTTCAGTGGGCACGGGAGGGTCCCTAAGGCTGCGCAGACACAGGTCTGACCAAAGGAAGGTGCTGGCGGAGCTTCCTGGTCTACAGAGGCGAAGGGCGGAACCCTCAGACCCCTTCTGAGAAAACCTGAAGGCCTGAGCTTCCTCCACACCCTCCCAGCCCTCGCCCAGTTACCATAGGCCACGGGGGTCAGCTTGAAGATGGTGTGCAGGGGGCACCTCAGGTACGGCAGCTCCTCTGAAAATAGGAGGGGGTTGTCAAGGCTGTCCAGTGGGGTCCAGGCTACCTCCTAAACTGGGTCCTGCAGTCCTCAGCAAGCTGGCCACTTCTTCAGAGGAGAGTGCTCCGGTGCGGTCCGCAGGGAAGCCCCGGCCCACAAGAGGTGAAGGAAGCAACAGGGGTGGCCGCCCAGAGGGAAGCCAGCACCCTCCTGGGGCACCAAGGCCACCCTAGCCCCCTACTGCCACATCAGAAAAGCAGCCCCCACCCCAGGGTTCTACCCAGAGGCTGTCCACCCAGGATGCAACACGTCTAAGCCACCGCCTTCCTGGAGGGCAGAGTCACACGCCACGAACAAGCAGGGTAGCAGTGCAAGCAGCGGCTGCCATGCAGGATCTGACCAGCAGAGGGGCAGGCCGCTGGGCCTACTTGGTTGGACCCAAGGGAATAGGGCCCGCCCGCCATGTGGCACCTGCGCCCTTGTCCAAGAAGTAGGCCAGGAGGCAGCGCATGACAGCCTGGTGGCTGATGACGAGGACGCTGCCCTGCCGCTCTAGCTCCATGATGACCGGCTCCAGCCGCTGCACCAGGTCCTGGTACGACTGTGGGGAGCGGGCACCAGTCAGAGGCCAGCGGGCGCTGGGCAGGTGCACCAGCAGCCACGAAGGGCTGGGTCTGTCCTAAGGTCTCCCCAAGGGCCTCCTCTGGGGCTCGCCACTCCTGGGGGTCCTGCCCGTTCCCCAGCTCTGGGCTCTCCCTTAAGGGCTCAGAACTTTCAGAGCGACTCGCAGATGAGAAGACATGGGGTTTCCTCAGAGACTGACAATGTGAGGTCTGGGGTGCCTGGAGCTGGACCAGGTGGGAAGGAGCAGAATGAAGAGAAGAGTAAGGCCTTGTGCTGGCCTCTAGGATACCCAGGGAGGGACCTGCCATCTACCAGTGAAACAGTCAGGGGCCCACCAGCCACAGGCCTGAGGCATATTTGTCCTCCCAGCCAGCACCGAGCAGCCTTACCTCACCCCCAGGGTAGCGGTACAGGTACTTGTCTTGGTCACGCAGCGCGAACTCCTCCGGGTACTGTTTCTGGATCTCAGTGTAGGTCATCTCCTCGCACACGCCCTGCAGGACAGGCTACCTCCAGGGAGACCATTCCATGGCCCACCGGCCAGGGCAGGGGACACCAATGCACCAATGCCCCAGCTGCTTCTCTGTGGGGCTGCCAGGGCTTGAGGCACAAGCCTCCCACCCTCCGCCCCGAGTACTGAGTGGGTCAGGAGCAGAGGGGGCAGCCCCCATTCCTGTCCCAGCTCCTGTGCTGCCACCATCTCCCTCAATGAGAAGCTGGGGGTCAAGCGATCAGCAGGACCAAGGACTGGAGGCGGGCGGGGGGCAGTCTTCTTGAGGGGACACAAAGGGCACAGAGAAGGAAAGAAATGCCTGTTTTTGTGCACAAGGACAGCTCAGAGGGTCAGGAACTATCTGGAAAGAGCTTTTCCAGAACTGACCAAAAGCAGCCAGGGGAAGTGAGGGGTTACTGATTCTGTTCCCCCATAGGACAATAGGTGAGGCCGGCCGGGTCCCCAGGCCAGGAGGGGCACGCAGGTGGGGAGCCCACCTCCTCCCTTGGCCCCAACCAGCCACAGATGAGTTCTCCAACAGGGCTCTGGATGCTCCCTGTGGGGCCTCTCACTGCCTCCCATCACCAGAGCCCACTCACAGCATCGATCTCGTTCAGAATCTTCCACTGCTCGTAGGTCACCCCTAGGGATTCGGCCGTCTGGATGGTCCTCTTCAGCTGGCTGGTCCACACCTTCAGGTCTGTTATCCCCTGCTCCTCCAGAAACTTCCTTAGAGCTTGGGCGAACTTGGGGGAAATAAGCATTTGAGGGGGGGAGAAAACCCCCTGAAGCTGCTGCACAGGACAACGTGTGTGCCCACAGGCTGAGGTAGAGTATAAGTAGGTTAAGCCCAAGAGGATGCAAACCCCACCAGCGCGGACCGGGCCTACACACACGGTGCCTGAGCGACGCCTGCTGGCTGAAGCCCCGCTTTCCCGCCACTGCGAGGCATGTGCACCCACAGGCTCTGGGAGACACACCCGAGCCTGGGGGCACGGGCCCAGCCGCCCCTCGGGACTGCCCAGCACCCACCTGCTTGCCCCGTGCCGAGAGGCCGGAGTCCCCCCCGATCTTCCCCAGGATGTTGAACTCGCTTTCCCCATGCCGGCAGAGGTAGATGGAGCGTGGCTGCACATGGATGTTCATGAGGTAGTAAACGATCTTGCTCTGGATGTAGTCCTGCACTCTGTTCACCAGGAAGCGCTGACCCACGTTGATCACCTTGATGAAGGAAAGGTCCCTGGGGCAGAGCAGGGGAGCATGAGTGTAGGCCAAGGGCAGGGGGGTATCTGTGGTCAGCGTGGGCTTCCAGGGCTCTGCACCCTGCCAGGAGGAAGCCACAGTGGGAGGGCTGGTCCTCACACCCAAGGGAGGGTAAAGCACCTGAAGTGCCACCCTCAGCACCCCATGCCCTGCCCCTATTGAAGTACCGCCCACAGGACCCAGGCCTCCCCACAGGCCGGACCAGAAGGGCAGCCACCTGCCAGCGCCCAGGCTGGTGAGGCATGCAGACTGCGAGGGCTGACGTCACTAGGAGGGGAGGCAAGAGCCAGAAACACATCTCCAGGCCCCGCGTGACGGACATCTAGCTCACTCCAGGCTCCTCAGACTGTTCGCCAGCTCCAGCTGCTCCCTTAACACAACAGGAGCGCATTCCAAAGGGCTTTCAAATCAAGAGCCAGAACAATGCGCTCAGTTGTCCCCTTCTGGGACAAACGCACCCTCCCGGGACCCCTCGTGTGGACCACAGTACCTGCCGGCCCCGGTATTGGCTCCACTATCGGGAAATGCTCCGATATGCTCTGGGAGCCCCCAGGGGGACTGAAAGGGCCCCGGCGGCCTAGGCCTGGCACGTTCACACACTGGGGTCTCCCCCGTGCCCTGTGGCGTCAGGGAGCACAGCCTAGGCTACCAACCACCCCGTGAGTGCAAGTGTTGGGCACGTACACCATCGGTCAGACACATGTCGGCCAGGCGACTGGAACAGGCACGCTCAAGGGCATGTAAGCTACAAGCACGGCTCATGGCACATGCGTGTCCCGTGTGCTCCACATGTGTGCACGTGCATAGCGTCTCGCACATGCTTTGTGTGCATTAGCACGCATATTAATGCATGGAGCAGCGCCATGTGCTCGTGAACAGACAAGCTCCAGAACCAAAGGCTGGCAGTCCTGGCGGGTGCAGGGATCAGAAGCAGCAGAGCTGGCCCGGGTGCAGCGGCCGCAGGCCTGGGCTCGCTGCTAGCGGGGAGTGTCCTGGTCACTGTGGGCATTGCCAGGGTATGGCTCCACACACTACAGGCCACGAGGAGCCCCCACAGCAGGCGCAGGCAGGGCCATGGTGAGGGTCCCCGCTCCATGGGGAAGGTCACCCCGGGGCTTGCATGCACCCAGGGCTGGTGTCCACTCCCTGGGCTGGGGGAAGGGCATCTGTGCAGGGTGGGCCAAGGCCTTGCCTTACTTGTCATAGTCGTCGGGGTCCAGGGGCCGGTAGGTGACCTGGTAGCACTCGATCCTGCGCAGGAAGTCCTCCATCACGTTCTCCCTATCCCTCTCGGGGTAGTCGGGGCTTGACACCTTCACCTCCTACAGTTACAGGGGTGGAGGTGGTCATGTGGCTGAAGCGGCCCTGCCCAGGAGAGCAGAAGGGGCTCCCTGCTCCCCAGGGCCACTCATAGCAGGCGCCTGGTCTGACCTCGCTCCAGAGTGGCCAGGTGGGCGCCCCACCCACCAGGCCCAGGTCTGCTGGACACATGGCGCCCTGGGGGCACAGGCTGGGGGCCTGATGCAGGCCTGAGGCCCAGGAGCTGCCTCTCTGACTTCATTCCATGGCCGGCCTCCCCCTGCCCCATCCTGCATCCCCATGAGGGAAGGGGTCGAGGGGCCAAGGGGGCTCGCAGGTCCAGAGGGTGAGCCCCACCCCTAAACCCACCCCACCCCCTTGCATGCCAGCTGGTCCTCCCCAGTATACAGGCCACCCACCAGGATGTTGGCAGCGATGACGTCGGGATCATCACAGACAGACTCCACAAAGAATACCTGGCCAGGGGAGGAGAAGTGATGGCAGAGCCCACACGAGCATCCAGGCCCACCCAGGAGCCAAGCATTAGGCCCCACCACCTCCCCTGTGCCTTCACGGAAGCCACCTCTGGGGCTCCCTGGGCTGGAAACTCCTCTCACCACCTCCCCAGGGCCTCAGGCACACAGGCTAAGGGCTGAGGAGCACCTGGGAGGAAACAATCAGGAACTGGGAGTTTGCCCAAGAGGCACGACTCAGGCCCCAGAGCTTGGCAGCCACCACAGAAGTGGCTACTCCCCACCAGACCCCAACCTCCCTGTCCCCACCCAGAGGAACAGGGCCTACCTTGAAGGCATTGTCCTTGGCAAAGCTCAGGATCATGTCCCGCCTCTCCCGGGTGGTATTGGTAGCGTCGAACACCTGGAAGAGCCCGGGGCCAGTGAGTGGGAGCAGAAAGGGTGCCGCGCAGCTGGGTGGGCAGGCAGGCAGGCAGGCTTACCGCGATCTGCCCGCTCTCCTCAGTGAGGTAGGCCTTCACATCCTCCAGCGCCACCAGAGCACACTGCCTGCCAGGAGCAGGGGGGCTGGGGCGGCCGGGAAGTGCAGCGGCCCCAGGCCCCCCTTGTTCTCCCACGGTTGCTGTGTTTCCCGGCTGGGCCATCTGGCCACCCTGTCCCATCCGCACCTGCCTGTAGTCCTGCGGGCAGGACAAGTGCACCCAGCCGCTGCCCACGGTGGCACAGACTCACCTGCGGATCTTCATGGCCTCCTCATTGTCATGCCGGAAGAAGTCGTAGGATTTATAGGACTTGACGGCTTCTCGCCGGTAGACCCCGAGGTTGAACACTGCGGGACACCCACACCCAGCAGGCTGAGGGCCACAGCCTGCCAGACAGGGCTTCTGGCCGAGGGCAGTGTGGCCGAGGGGCAGCCAGGAGTGAGGCAGGTCCTGGGCACAGCTTGAGCCGCGCTCCCCCAGCCATGTGGACATGCACACAGCTCAGCACAGTGAGGTCAGGGGAAGTGCCCCTCGGTGCGGGCCACCCACACAGCCAGGATGTGAAAGGCCCTGCTGACTCAGCCCCCCATGGCTGCCCGCAGCAGCCTGGATGTTCACTTCGGGGGAAGTCTCTCCCAGCGCCCCAGGCCCAGTGCCGCCCCCTCCCTTCAGGAGCACACCTACCTTTGGTGGGCACCCCAATCCAGTTGAGATAGCGGGTGAGCTTCTTGGACACATAGGTCTTGCCCCGGGCTGGCAAGCCAATCATGACGATGAGCGTCGGGGAGTTGGTCATGTAGGAGGCCCAGGCTGGGGAAAACGAAGCCCACAGAGCCAGGTGACCAGGCCCGAGAGCGTTGGCCACACGCCTGCCCTCCCATGGGCTCAGGGAGGCCAGGGGCCCAGGAGACCGGGAAGGCAAATGGGCAGTATCGCCCTGTCCTGCAGGGCCAAAGGGTCACGGGGTTGTCCAGAGCCATGTCCTCCCACCATTTGGCGGTCCCCTCCGAGGCACATGGTGGATGGGGGCAAGCGCAGCAGCAGGAACCCCAGTGGCTGGTGCTTCCGGGAGAATGTACAGCGACAAAAATGGCCAGTGCAGAGCTGCTGCTGCCTCCTGTCCTTCCAGCTCCCCAGGCAACAATCAGCTCACCTACCACAAAGAGCCAGGCTCCGTGCTCAGGACAAGCTGCCCGCTGGACCATCTATCCGATAGTGAGATTTAGTGACCACTAAGGACCCTCCTGGCACAGTGCTCACTGCCCATTCAAAGAGGAACACCAGCTGCCAACGGCCAGCTCTGGACACAGGTTTCGGGGTGTTTGTCTACAGAGGGCCCTCAGTGGACAGGAGGGAAAGCAGCAAAGCAGAGGCTCCGAGGGCAGAGCTTGCCAGGCCGCCTGAAGCCTTGTGGGAGGAGCTACTAGCACGGGGGCCAGGCCTGGGCTTCCTCAGTGGTTTTTCTCAAGAGTCTTCTCAGCTCATTCCTGAGAGCTAGCCAGTGCCAGGCACATGCCCCGCCCAGAGGCCAGGGTGTAAGGGGCGCAGAGTCAGCCCTGTGCAGGGTGGGGCGGAAAGAGCCACCTTCCCAACAAGCCCCAGCCCTGCTTTCCAGAGGGTGTGCAGAGTGTGGCTGCTTCACGGCCGTGGGACAGGGTGACCCTGGACTCTGCAAGCAGCTCAGTCAAGCTGGAGCTGGCTGCGCAGGCACCTTTCCTCTTCTGAGACAAGGGTGGCAGAGATCTTAGCAGAGAAGCAGGCAGAGGTTGGGTGGGAGAAGGCCTCGGCGCTCCCGAGTGGCATCTGACAAGGGGCCAGAGAGGCCCTGGCTGCGGGTGGGGTGGCCAGACTCCAGGTTGGAGCCGGGTTTGCAGGCTTGGCCCAGCAGCTCGGGGAGGGAGCTGGGCCGGGCGCAGCCCCTCAGAGGTGGCCCTGAGCAGCAGCAGGTTGGCATCCCATAACAAGCCTGGGCACCAGGGCGACGGTGCCACCCGCTCTGACCTCCAGCAGGCCCTGTCTGGCCAGGCACCCATCACACAAGCAAAAACCTCAGCTGAGGCATAGCCTCCAGCTCCATGCTGTGCTCTGCCCCCCGAGACCTGCTGTATTAGCTGCACATCCAGGCCGCTGCCCACGCCGTCCAGCCCACCAGGGTGTCCCCAAGCGGTACCCTCCCCGGAGCTGAAAACGAGCTGATACTTGGGAGAACTGCTCCGCAACCAACAGGGAGCCAGCTGCTCCGTGTTTACCCAATTGGATAGAGAGGGACACCCACAAAGGGAAGACAGTTGCCAAGGAGGCTGCCTAGCTCCCAGGGCCAGCCCCCTGCTGTGCCCCTCAACCCCGCTTTCCACTCAGATGGCCACATGGGCAAAATGAGAAACACTGTCCTGCCTATTAGAAAACAAAACCTCCTCCATCACCCCCACCTCCACCAGCACCATCACCCCCATGACTCCCACCGCCATCCCCCCCCATTCTGATTAATCACAGGCCATGTGACACACCCTGCCGTATAACGGAAAGTTATTTCAACACTGAAATTCTCTTCTCTCTGCTTTGCCCACATTTAACTCACTTTTCCAGCCTCACACTTCTTCCCCTCATGGCCACATGTGGAGGAGGAGCCCTGACAACTTCCCTCCTGCAGACAGGAGCAGTAGAGCCCAGAGAACAGAGTTGGGCCTTCGCACGGGGTGGAGGGGGGGTAGGGGGGCAGGGGGGTATCAAGGACAGGCCTGGGCTTGGCCCGTGGCTTCACTACCCGACTGGGTCCCAGCCGCCCACCCCATCAGCGCCCACGAAGGGAGCTGCGGGTGAGCCTGAGCTCTCCACCCTGGGGGGCTGAGCTGGGCTCAGGACAGTGGCTCCTGGCTCCTCACATGAAGGTCTTCCTCAATGTGTTCCAACTAGGCCAGCGCCTTGCAGTGTACCACCATGGACATGTGTCCATCAGTAACATTTTATTTCTTGTCACCAGAAGCCACAGAACCGCTGCTTGACTGGCACCAACGTTCAGGTTCTGAGGCCAAACGTTACCTAGAAGCACGACGCTCAGGTGGCCAGTGAGCTACAGTTCTTCTTGCCCAATTTCCACCAAGTACTTTGAAATAGTAAAAACAGCTTATGCCGTAGAACTTTCTAGGAGAGCATCTCAGCAACACTGATGGCAACTTCGGAGGCGCACCCCTTCTCCCATCACCTGCGAGGAGGTGCTAGCACACAGAGCAAGGCCAGTCTGCAGCGCGCTGCTCAGCACTGCAGGGTGCTGGAGGCCAGAGGGTGCTGCACGGCCACAGAAGGCAGACGCCCTAGGGCAGACACACACGGAGCCTAAGACAGAGGAGGCACGGCAGAGGGATGCTGCACATCGCTGGGGTCGGACCTCGGAGAGGAGCAGCAGGATGGGAAGCCTGACAGGTGCTTCTCTCTCTCCCTTTACATAGCGGGAGACATGGGAAGGACAGATAAATGGATGGACAGAAGGGGAGTGAGCAGCTCAGCACCCACTTAAAGGGCCCTGGGAAGTGCTATTTCCAACAGAGAATGTTCCTCTTGTTTGACAGTTCTGCAGCCCTGATTTTGGGGGTACAGGATCATAAAGGGAGGTGCGCTGGGGGGCACTTGATCCAAAATGGAGCAGAAAGCAGGGTCGGCACCTGGTACCCAGCCATGAAGCAGCTGAAGTTGCTAATCTCCAGCCCCACCACTTCCAGAGGTCTGGTGGACAAACCAGGTGAGCCGCAGCAAGAGGACACGGTGGAGCCCCGGACACAGCGGGGCCCCAGACACAGCGGAGCCACAGCAAGAGGCCACAGCAAAGCCCCGGACACAGCGGAGCTGCAGACACAGCCGCATGGCTGGGCTCCAAGCTGCACGGAGTCTGCCCCAAGACACAGAAAAGAACACAGAGGTGAAGAAACCAACATCTTCATAACTGTTCATTTCCTGAGGACAGTGCCATCTCCATGCAGGGGAGCTGGAGTAACTGAAGGTGGGCGCTTCAGGACAAGCCAGACTCTTCAGGGGGAGAAGAGGATAGAAAAGGAGAAATCATGGCCCAGAGCATATTAATGGATCAAGAATTAAAGCATCAAGGATCAAGGTTAGACTCAAGAATGCAGAATGAATGAATGACTCTAGAGGACAAGAGAGAAACCTGGGCCTTGCTGAGTAGGCAGAATAAGGTGGGAGCATCAGGGGGAGCTGAGGGTGTGTGTGTGGGGGGCAGAGCTGGAAGGACACGGGCTCTGGTGGGGCCAGGGACCCTCACCACTAGTGACACCACCCAGCTCCCTGCTCTTTCGGATCAAGTGTTTCCAGTTAACATACCCCTTTAAGATGTGCATCCCGTACTCCTCAATCTGGCTCAGTACTCAAGAGAATCACTCTTCACTGGAAATGTGACTCTGCCAGGGCTTTCACACAGGCGCCCCCACAGCATTCACGGGGTCCCCTCGCTTACAACATGAACTGCATATGCATGCTACCCCACAGCAGAACGCGGCTCCGCCTGCAGCCACATGGGGGTGGGTAGCCTGCACTCACATCCCTCCCTCGAGGTGACACTACCCACAGCTGCTTCACAACAGGGGCAAGCTGAGGCGCAGAGACAGCAGCTTTAAGGACACATGGCTGAGCAGCAGTAACCCAGACGGGAAGCAGCAATCTGGCCCCACAGCAACATGCACACGCTGGCAAGTCTGCTTCTCCCGGGGGTATCGCCCTCCGTGCCTGGCTCCCTGACCTGGCAGAGCTGCACCCACCCCCACATCACAGCCTCAGAACACACTGCAACAGCCACCCCACGGCGTAGTGGGTGCCACGTGAGAAGGAGCTTGTCATCGTAAATCACAAGCCTGTGGAGCTGAGACAGCAAGGTCGAGGCCCGCAGGGAAGAGCCAAACATGAGACCGTCCAAGGTCTCTTGCGGTCGCTGTTTCCACCTGCTGGTATATATAACCGCAGAGTGAGAAGTAGCTGTTGCTGTGCCAAGAGGAAGGAGCAACCCGGGGGGGGGTGGGGGGCTTCCGGTCTGTGATGATGCTCCGAAAGGCAGATGTGTGGGGCGGAAAGTGAGGCTCCCCTCCCTGCAAACACCTGCTGTGTGCCTCAAAGACTGGCATGCCGGTGCCTGGGCACCCGGTCCCCAGAGGACTGGACCACAGGGAAGTGGTTTGTAAAGTGCAAAGGCTAAAGCAGAGAGAAAGTGCAGGGCACAAGACAAGGTGAGAAATCAGAGCTCAGGGCTGATCCCGGAGCCTGGCTCCAACCTGCAGGGGCGGCGCCTGGCAGAACTCAGCCAAGGTGAAAGGGAAACAACAGCCGATCATCCCAAGTCGCCCCTGCGCTCCTCCCTTCCCGGGCTGTTCAACATCCACCACATGTGCAGGTATCTCCCAGACACAAGATTTTAGTTCAAGAAAGCAATCTAGCCCCGAAGGCAGACACCTCACCAGACAGGAAACTGCCCTGGCAGACTTTGGTTTAAATTCCCACATCAAAGAACTATTTCTCACTGCCACCAAGCAGCCAAGTCCAGCATTACAAGTGCAGTCCCAGATGAAGTCCTGGGAGAACACAGCCCTTGGTCCCGGGACTCACAACATTTCTTCTCTGCAGAGCGAAGATTCGAAGTTTTCGGTTCACAGCTGTTGCTGTACTGTTCCGAGGAAGACCCAAAATTCCCAGACATGGCAGCTCTTCAAGAGTCTGGAAGGGACAGAAGGAACGTAAGGAAGGGGAACTAGACAGCCATCTGAACACACCCTGAAGAGCGCCTCACAGTGTACGTTTTAGAGAGCCCTGGGCCAAGGGCAAGTCCAGCAGCACCTTCCTCACCAGGGTCTGGCCCTGGCCCAGCAGGAGTCTCCCAGCCTGAGCCTCATCTGCCGAGCCCCACTGGACCCCCCTGGGATGCGGACAGGAGGCTGCCCTCATGCTAACCCTTCGGTCACACAGAAATCCTGGAACAGGCAGCTCAGCTCCCATTATACTTTCCCCGATTTTACAGATGGAAAACCGAGGGTGAGCAACGAAGCAAGCGGCTGCCCACGTCCCTTCCTGATCTCAGGTTGCAGCTCGCGACTCTGCAAGGACAGTAACAGCAGCGAGGTGGGGTGGGTGGTAACGGTCCGAGAACGCCACCGAGAAGTAACTGCGGTCCTGCGGGTCTCGGCCAGGAAACACCCGGGGCCGGGTCCCGGGGAAAGAACCCGACCGCCGGCAGCCCCGGCGCGTGCGCGCCCCCCCATCACCCGGCCGCAATCTGCCGGGCCGCGGGGCGCCGGGCAGACGACTCCCCAAGGTCACTGCTCCGAGCCCTCCCGAAGCCCGACGGCGGCGCCGGCCCACCGCCGCCCCGCGCCCCGGCCCCGCTCTCACCGCCAGGAACCGCGGCCCGCGACGCGCCGCCGTCACGTGCCCGCCGGCCCGCCCCGCGCGGCTCACCTGGAGCGCCCGGCCAATCGTGGCGGCGGGCCCGGGGGCGGGGCCGGGCGGGGCCTGCGGCACCGCCCCAGGCCGAACCCGAGGGACCGCCCCGCCCCGCCCGCCGCCGGGCGGTCGCGTTGCCGAGCAACCCGGGACTGTGGGCGGGGCCGCTACGCGCCGCGGCATGACTCTCGCGAGAGCGGGCTGTGGCCGGGCGTCCGTGGGGCGGAAGTGACCGGCGGGCGTCTGGGGAACTCGCGGTGTTAACGCTTTCCTTCCGGTTTCGCCCCAGAAACACCTCCGCCCACCCAGGACCGCGAAGATGCTCTGCTGCGCGAGCCCCCACTCCCTGAGCTCTGTGCACCGGGGGGCTGCATCCCCCGAGAGCGGGCCGACCTCGGGAAGCCCCGCGCTGAGCCTCCCTCGCGACGCAGCCGGGGGTCCTGCGGCCCTCCCGTTCCCCCCCACTCTGGGTTCCTGCTGTCGCCCCGTGCCCCCCCCCACTCAGGGGTCCTGCGGCCCTTCCGTCCCCCCACTCAGTGTTCCTGAGGCCCTCCCGTCCCTCTACTCAGGAGTCCTTTGGTCCTCGTTCCCCACCCCCGACTCAGGGGTCCTGCGGCCCTTCCTTTCCCCCCACCGCCGCCCTCCAGTAGACTGTACTCCCTTCTCCATTCTCCGCCCCCAAGCCGCACCATGGTTGTGTCTTCTTAAATAGGGGAGAAGGAAGACTGCTCTGCTTAACACAGGATCGGTAAAGATGTGACCACCATGTTGCTGGAGGCTTTCCCAGCAGAGATGACGGAGATAACATCACACCTTTCAAGGGGGTCTCATGGCTGCTTTGGCCCATGGACCCGGCGAGGACCCAGAATGGACCCGGGGGCTCCGACCCCCTGGAGCCGGAACGGAGAAAGGACAGCGCGCGCGGGCCTCGGGATAAACTCAGAGCATCTTTATTCCGCTTCCCAGGCCCACATGCACCCTTCTCTCAGGGCGAGTCCGTCCAAGCCTCTGTCCCCGAGAGTGACAGCCGCCCCCTCGGCCCTCAGCCGGCCCCGCTGTCCCCGGCCGTCTAGCCACTGAGCTTCCACCTCGCCAGAAGCCCCAGCGGCAGGTCCCCCGCCCGCCCTCCTCCTGCTGCCAGACGCGAGGGCGGCCTCCAGGCCCCCGGGCCAGGGCGGGCCTAGGCCTCGGCCCTCCGCACCCGCCCAGATGACCTCACTCCAGGCCTCTGCGGCGCGGGGACATGCCAACCTAATCCCGCGGGCGAGCCGGGCACGTCGGCGTCTGGGCAGTGGGGCCGTCACGCGAGCCCGCGGGCCCTGGAGCTGACTCACGGGCATGCTCGGCGTTCGCCGCGCTCCGAGCTGGCCCTCCGCGTCGCCGGCACGTGCAACCGGCAGCAGCGGCTGAATCACTTCCGCCCTCCCCGGGTCCGGCTCACATTCCGGCCCCCGCCCCTCCGCGGCGCTTATATACTGGAGCGCTGCGCCGGCGCCCCAGTCCGAGGGACCCCGCGGCCGCTGGCGCTTTAAGAGACGCGGCGCCCTGCTACCGGGCGGACGCCGACCCAAGTGTCGCGAGAGCCGGGCCCGCGAGTCTCGCGATGTTTGGCGCCCCGAAGGGTGGCCATCTTGGCGGCGGCGCGGCGGCCGGTTGCCCCGGCGGCGGAGCCGGTCCTGCGGCCGGGACGGGGGTTGAGGCCGGCGCCGCGGGTTGCGGTACGATGTGGCGGCTCCGCTGCAAGGCCAAGGACGGCACCCACGTGCTGCAGGGGCTGTCCAGCCGAACCCCCGTGCGGGAGCTCCAGGGCCAGATCGCCGCCATCACCGGGATCGCCCCGGGCGGACAGCGAATCCTGGTGGGATACCCGCCCGAGTGCCTGGACCTCAGCAACGGGGACACCACGCTGGGGGACCTGCCCCTGCAGTCAGGTGAGGGGTGTCGGGGCCCGCCCTGGCCGTGGGGTGAGGGGTGTCGGGGACCTGCTCAGCCGGGGGGTAAGGAGTGTTGGGAACTGGCCCGGGCAGTGGGTGAGGGCTGTGGAGGACCTGTCGGGGCTGGGCGTCCGAGCAAGGGATGACAAGCAGCTCCAAGGTGCTGCTGGATGGAGGGAGGGATGGAGCCATCCTGGGAGGGGACCCCGAGGTTCCAGATGAGGGGGACGCATGACAGCCCCTACAGAGGAGGTCCCTCCCTTTAGGCTGTTTGGAGTCCCTCTTGACAAAGTCTGACTCAACTGCTTTCCCTCTGCATCCTCAGAGGTATGCAGAAGTGGGCCTGTATCCCCAGTCCTGTCGCCTCCCCCTGTATCCCTGAAAGATGACAGCAGGTGGGAGGGTCCTGCATACTTTGTCTTTTCCTCTTTTGAGGTCTGTCTCCCGCAGAGTTCGGTGCTCAGACTTCAGCGGGTCTTTCACAGCTCCTGGTGGGGGGTGTTGTAAACAGTACTAGGGTAGGTGGTGCAATTTCTGGAGGATGAGAACCCCCTAGTGGCCTAGTCTGGGGTGAACACCTTCTGGAAGATTTGTGCTTTAAAAATGCCTCCAGTGTGTCTCAGGGAGCTTATTCTTGAAACTTATTTTCTTAAGTAAATGTAAAGGTACTCGTAGTTCAGTCTCCTTTACTGAATCGGAAAGCAAAGCTGAAGCAAGTTGCTCTCTGTTCTGCTTTCATCTTTTTGAAGATTTGGTGACTAGAAGCGTTACTTCCTGCAGAGTCACTTTATGTGTTTCCTGGCCACTCGTTTGCAAGGCTGTATTTTCCCCAGCACCCTACTCATGCTCTAAGCCTCCTCTTTGTGACTTGCAAGCTCCATTCATGAACACCCAGCTTCATCTGTGATTTCTGAGGCCTGGTTTCATTTTGTTTTGACCAGGTGACATGCTGATTGTTGAGGAAGAACCAACCAGGCCCCAGGCTTCGCCTGCATTTACGAAACACGGTGCTTCCAGTTATGTTAGGGAAACACCACCTGTGCTCACCAGAGCCTCCGTTCCCGCGGACAACTCCTGCCTCTTTACCAGCGTGTACTACGTGGTGGAAGGAGGGGTCTTGAACCCAGGTTATGCCCCTGAGATGCGACGCCTCATAGCACAGATTGTCGCAGGTGACCCTGACTTCTACAGCGAGGCCATCCTGGGGAAGACGAACCAGGAGTACTGTGACTGGATTAGAAGGGATGACACCTGGGGGGGCGCCATAGAGATCTCCATCCTATCTAAGTTTTATCAGTGCGAGATCTGCGTGGTGGACACCCAGACAGTGCGCATCGACCGCTTCGGGGAGGATGCAGGCTATTCCAAGCGCGTCCTGCTCATCTACGATGGCATCCACTACGACCCGCTGCAGCACAACTTCCCCGACCCTGACACCCCACCTCTGACCATCTTCTCCACCAGCGACGATGTTGTCCTTGTGCAGGCGCTGGAGCTGGCAGAGGACGCGCGGAGGCGGCGGCAGTACACCGATATCCGCCACTTCGCCCTGCGCTGCATGGTGTGCCAGAAGGGCCTGACTGGCCAGGCAGAAGCCCGGGATCATGCCAGGGAGACGGGCCACACCAACTTTGGGGAGGTGTGAACGATGCCCAGGGGACCGACGCCGACTACCTCACAGACCCAGAAGGCTCTGGGCTGCCGATAAGCTACTCCTGATGCTGACGAACAAACAGGACGCGATGCTTGAACCACCCTTTGGGCTTAAAATCACTAAGAGACCGAAATTCCTTGTTAAGATTAAAATCAGTGTGCAAGTTTACAGACCCGTTCCTGCAGTGGGGGTCCACGCCCCCTTCCTGCTGGGCACACGCTAACAGCCCTTGCTACCTGCTGACACTACCCTGAAGGTTGGGTGTAGTGGCACAAGCTGGCGCCCAGCACTGGTCACTTCTAGAAGAACTCAGCTTTGTGTGGGGGGGGGCGGGGGGCGCGGACTGGGAGGGCTAATGGGAAGGCCTCCTGTGAAGCCACCGGACAGAAGCCAGTGTCCCCGGTGGTTGAATCCTTTTAAAAACGGAATTCATGGTTTCTGAACTGTGAAGTGATTCCTCCAATGAAGACCTCAGACTTGTCCGAGTTGGTTTCACTTTGCTGTTTAGTAGACTTTAAAACGTGCTTGGTGATAAGTACGTGACAAGCGTTTTCATGAGGGGGGGGGGTTCTGTTCCTGGGGAAAGGGAATCACCTCTCTGAGGTGCCCAGGGCATCGGTCCTGGCGTCCACAGCAGAAGGTGTGAGGGGATGGTGCCTGAGCAACTCCGTGAAGCTTTAACAGACCTTCGGCCTCCCGTGCCGGTGCTGCTCGCTGTCATCTCTGTCACGTCGGCTAAGATGTTAAATTTAAGCAGGTATGATTGCTTAATTGAATGCCTTGAAATTTGAGTGCTTGATTTTTGCTTTTTCCATAAAGATTTGCGTGGAGGGATTTGATTTTCTCTGCATTTTGCTTGGAGCCCTCCTTCAGCTCCTGAAGACAGCCTGGGTCAGCAGCGAGAGCGGCTGCCCAACTTGCCCGGTGAGCTCTCCTGCAGCCTGGACAGTGTGTCCTCCCTGGCCCAGCCTGCCGCGCGATTGAGTGACTTCACGTGCTGCAGATGAGCACTTTGCTTGTGCAGTCTTCTGGCAATGGAGAAGTTTTAAGTAACTGGGATGATAATATTGAATTTTTCTCACTTCTAAAGATGACCGCTTTTAAGTCCTTGCCTTACTCAGCTTTTGGCGACTCCCGCCTGCCCTGGTGGCCATGGACTTGTGGCCCTCTCGGGCAGTCCCCCTGCCACACCTTCCACAGCTTAGCTTCCGTGTGAGCTCTTCCAGATAAACGTTTTCTACCTCTTAATTCTTTTGAAGTTCAGGGATGCTAAATTATGAATCACTATGTATTATCTCATACAATGTTAAAAGAGGCTTGAGGTTGTCGAGTTTGTCATGTTCATCTCAGTGTTGACACAGCGTCTTGCTGAGGGAGCCTATGTAAACTCCTAGCCCTCGCGTCTCACCACACCTCCTTGGCAAATTTTGTGAAATGGACATTCCTTTTAGCACTTTCACTCAATGAAGACGGCTATATAAAAGTTAAAAATCTGTCATTGATGGAGGAGGGTGTCCCTTCAAGGACCAAGCCGTGAGGTGTGTCTGGGCCCCAAGGTGACATTTCTTGGCCTTGTGTGTGACTCGCCTCTTTGGGCACGTGAGGTATTCCCAGTGATGGACCATACGTGTCTCCTCTTCTGAGCCTTAAAACAGCACTTGTGACCTTGCACACTTGGTGTCTGGCAGCCGCCATCTGTACAGAGGAACCGGATTGAAAATGCCATCTGGCTCAAATGGTGGTTGTGTCTGTATTTCCCCCAGAAAATCAATGGGAAGCTTGAGAGTGACCAGTAGGCATTGTCCAGCAGCGCCATGTGACGCTTCCCTGCCCTTCTTAGGGACTTTGGGACCCAAACTTGACCTTTGCCGACTGTAGTTTTAGAGGTTCATTCTCGTAGCACGTATTTATTGAGTGGTTTACAAGGTGCCAGGCCTGTGTTGATGTGTTTCCCAGTGTAAATTTCAGCCACTTCAAAACTGAGTATATTTTGTACGTGTTGGATTAGTTTTAACAAGTGGGAAGAAAGAGCCCCGGGGTAAAGCGGAGCCCCTTCATTTCAGTGTTGCTTGGGGCTTAGACCTTGGCTCGCTCTGGGCGTGTCCGAGTTTGTCTGGGAGCCGCCCCACGCCCAGGGCCTGTTATCTAGGTCGCCAGGCACAGCTGGACACCCACGACAGGTTGTTCCAGGAGTGACTTTCTGGTTGAATCAGCTGCTGAAATTCAGCACAGTATTTTAAAGTGATATTCTGATCATAGAAAATTCAAGGTGATCATAGAAAATTCGAGCTGGAGCACTATTTTAGAAACATAAATTTGGCTTATTCTTAACTCAGGCTTGTGAGCCTCGTGAATTTAAAGATTTTTTTTTTTTTTGTACTGTACTGAATGAAGTCCTAAAATTAGATTATTCGTGGGGTAAATTTTAATCTTGAACTTTGAAAACCTATGGACTTGGGCCTTGCAACGGGATATACAGAGACTTTTTGTTACATTGGCACCTGAGCAGAATGAAACCTCTTTCTGTTCAGTTTTGGCTGCCGTAGAAGAACAATTTGTCACTGAAAGGAAGACCATTTACTCCAGTGGCAGAAAATGACTGGGCGTCCCTCCCCTCCCTTCTCCTCGCCACAATGCTCCTGTGGACTTCAGGATGCTGCGAAGCGCTCCAAAGACGCAGTGTGGGTGGAGTGATTCCAGGGGCTGCTGCTACGGCCCTGTGGGGACATGGGACATCAGTCCTGCCCTCTTCTGGGAGGGCATCACGACTAGATTCTCGGTGGTTTCCCAGGAAGGTCTGCGGGCCCGGCAGCGCTGTGCCGGCGGAGGGGTCGCTGCAGCTCAGCATGATCCTGTGGCGTGAGAGGCACGTGATCGACCACAATGAGGCCATGAAGTTCAGGTCATAGGAACTTACGATCAGGAAGCACTTAGTATTTTGTCTGTCTACCCATGCCCGGGCGCTGTGCCTGCCCTCTCGCCTGGTTCTTTCTGTCCTGAACAGGCCTTAAACCGTGAGCTAAGCTGGTTGCCCAGGCCCCCGTATCTTCTGTCTCACCGAGGAGCAGGAGGGGTCAGCCTGGGCTGTCTTGGAGGCCAGGTGGCCTTCCTGGCGTTCAAATGTCAGGAACCAGGGTCTTTGTGTGTCAAGACACCTTTGTTACTTGCAGCACTTTAAAAAATATGAAAGTTTACATGTTCGCCCTCTGCAGGGATCTTGTGAAGAACATTAGCACACAGAGTGGAGCTGCTTGGGTCGGGCTGATGGATAGGCCCTGGCGCAGTGGGCGGCTCATTGCGAGTTGGCCTGTGAGGCTCCGTGTCACTCACTGTGCAGCACAATGTTCAGACGCGCCCACGGCGCAAAGGTGGCTGTAGTCTTTCTTAAAAGATTAGATGCTTAATGCTGTTCATTTGTTAACAAGCAAATTTAAGGGAACTGCGTTTTGAGTCAGGCCTTCAGAGTGCCTGTGCGAACAGCACCATGTTAGGTCTAAACTAGCAATTGAGTTGAAATGAGCTGTTTTACTAACTAGCTTAGATGTTTTCTTACTGAGAATTTTAATATGTTGGCACCTTTCATTCAACTTTAAAAGAATGAAAAATTTCTCTTATGGCAAGGAAGGGTTTTGTTTTTCTCTTTTCCAAGGATTAGCTGCCATTTTGTGTCTAGAGCTTTGAATAGTTTATGTTGACGGAATCACTACATCATCACCACATGGTGGGTGCTGACTGAGGCAGTGGTTCATAGGAATGTAAAGAGCGGGGTAGCCCTGAGCTGTTTTAGGGTGAAGGGAGTATGAAGTGCCGCTTCGACAGAAGGGCCTCTTCAGAGATGCATTCCCCAGACCCAGTGATGCTCTCTGGAGACCTCCAAGGTGCCTTGGGGGCGGCGTGGGGCAACACGGCCCTCCCCTTGGGGTGCAGGCCACAAGGCCGCCACCGTGAGCTCCGTTGCTGCCCTAACATGCTCATTTCTAAAGGGAGACCTGCGGGTAGGGTCAGCACTGACAGGAGAGCTGTAGGTCAGCACAGCTCAGTGTGAGAAAGGGTTAGGGTTTGCACGCAGGTGACATGGCCCGATGTCCTCCTGGCATGGGCATGTACACCTGCGGGTCTCCGAAGGTCAGGGCTGACCTGCGAGCTTCAGGCTCATGTGGCGCCGTGCGGGACCCAGTCACGCTGTTTACAGGAAATCAGATTTCCTCAGCAAAGAGGAATTTTGTTGAGTTCAGCTTGAAATGCAGAATAGATGAGTGTGGTCGTCGAGGGCAAACGGATGCAGACCCCCCCCCCCAGCCTCCCGGCCATGCAGGAGCACTGGAAAGCAGCAGCCTTATGAAGGTGCAGTGTCTTCTGCAGAGACGTCTGCCTGCCATCTCTCCACAGTCACTGCTGGGCTGCGTGGGGCCATTCTGTACACCATGCAGTTCTGCCGCTATCACTGCGATGCCTTGGTCTTTGTCATGAGGCTTATGATTTAAAGACCCAATTGCTGTGTGAAGTGACTTGTTTGGAAGGAATAAATGAAGTGAAAATACTGTTGTCTCAACTCTTCTTCGGCTGTGGGTGGAAGGCGGGGGACAGTGGGCGTACTCGTCACATGTCAGCACGCCTAGGCCCACTCCCTCAACTTGTCCCACAATCTGCCAGGTCTCACCTGGGGCGAGTGGGATAACTGTCACGGGAGAACCCAGAACGTTTCTTCCTCTTAACACAGAGGGCATTTGAAAAGTTCCCTCCCTTTTCCTAGTTCCTGAGGATCATCAGTCGGACGGGGCATTCTCTTCACGGGACGAGCCCAGACCCTGGGTAAGGGTGGAAATGGCAGCATCACTGGGGTCTGTGCTGGATCCTTCCAGGTGTCAGCACTAGGAACGTTTATTACACACGACGCTGAAGTTTCTAGCACTGGCAGAGTCTTGGGCTCTCTAGCAGGAAATCTTACCCTTTCCACCTCAGGGAAAGTTTAAAAGTAGGGAGCTGAGCCAAGTGTGGCCACTTTGTCACCCAGAACAAAGCTCGGGTCAGCACAGCTGCGATGTGGGAGCCAAAAGGGTCTGGTGACCCTGAGGCGGCAGCAGCCATGGTGCCATCACTCCAGCCCAAGAAGCAAACGTTCTGTGTTCATGACCTGGAAACTTGCTAGAAATGCAACTTCTCCCAAAAGTAATGCAAAGATGCATCACAGTGTCAGTGGCCTTCAGAGGGTTGCATTTGAGGGCCTCCCCAGGGATCGGCACCAGCTGGGGAGGCTATGGTGGCCACACCCAGGTCATTGGCCACTAATCAGGACTAAACGTGCAGACAGTCTAGAGGTGGCGAAAGGCAGTGCTCGTGGAAGCGCTCCCCTGCCCTCCTTATCTAAGTCATTTATTCAGATCTTTCGAGGTGCACTTAACAAGACACACCAGTTGGAAGGCGGCGATGGGCCGTGCGTCCGGTACTAAGGGATGAGCACGGCCACAAGCAGCTCAGCTGCCCTGTGTGGCCCCTGCCCTCAGGCTGCGCGACACAGCACACGCTTCTGTTTCTGCAGGGCCGCTGGGCTGGCTGTGGGGAAAAGTGCATTTTAATCCCAGTGTGATGTCACCCTCCCGAAATCACCTCTTTTTACAAATGAGAGGTGAATCAATGAAATTTGATAGAAAATAGCCATAGAAGTAACTCCTCAACACAGTAAAGTTACCTATGAAGGGCCATAGCTGACATCCATGGGGAGAGGCTGAATGCCTTCATCTAAGCTTCAGCACAGGCAAAGGCTCCCCCGGCCACTTCAGCATGGCGTGGAAGTTCTAGCACAAGTGGGCAAGAAGAAAAGGCACCAAGTCAGAAAGGAAGGATTAAACTCTGCAGAGCACGTGATCGTGTGTATCGGAACTTAGAGAATCCAAGAAAACACAACTAGTAACAAATTCAATATGGTTGCAGCAGAGAAGCCTCTTTGGGGCCCTTGGGGTTAGTCTCAGGTATCACCGGTGTGGACTGGCCAGGAGCTACCCACAGGGCTCAGCAGACCTCTCCTGTCTGCCTGCTGCTCCCCTCAGCAGTGGATTTCAGTGGATCGACCTATTCTGTTCCCCACTCTGTCTCTGGTGAGTCCTATCACCCCCTCACCTTTGGCCTGCACCCCATCTCTTGTATGCATAAATAAATAAATCAGTAAATCTTTAAAATAAAAAGCTGCGCAGAGAAACCGGTGGAATTTCAGCGGCATGTCCGTTGCGGAGGGGGCCCCCATGTTCCCCCTCCAGGATACCGACCCCAGCCGCATGTGCAGAGGCTGCCCTTGAAGCCACCAAAAACCAGGAAAGCAGAGAAAGAAAAGAAAAATGCAGTAGGAAGGAGCCAGAGCTGCGTGTCTGGGGGCCCAGTCGTGCCTCTTATGTGTGGCGTGAAGGATGGAGCTGACACTGAGGCAGCGGCCAAGGGACTGGCCCTCACCTGTAGGAGATCGAGCTGTGGCAGGTGGACGGCTCCAGATTGGGGCAAGTGCCCCTGTGAAGGCGAGTTAGGGGTCCCTGTGACTAGAGGAACAAGCCTGCTCCAGCCCACAAGACCTGCCAGGCAGAGTGGACGTGAGCGACCTGGTGCAGATGGAGAGGGGCCTGCAGGGAAGCCAGGCAGGCAGGTGGCGGGGAGGCCGGAGGAGGGGCACATGGAGGGTCTGCCACCTGCCTGAAGGCTGATGAGCAACATGGGGGCAGCTCATGGAGGCACTTCAGCCCCACAGGCAAAAGTTTACCCACTATTTGGAGGCGAGGACGCCACCCGGGGTGGGCATGTGTCCAGTGGGAGCTGCAGGATGGCGTTCTGTGGTCCTCTACCTCCCGTGGCCGTCCCTGTGATGGGTCCCGAGGCAGCGGGAACACGAGGCAAAGTGGAAGCCGACAGCAGAGCCCCTGGGGTGGGCCAGAGGAGGGCACAGGCGGGCAGTGGCAAGCATGGAAGATTGGGGTCCTCACAAACCCTCCGGTCTCAGCCCTCAAGCTGCGGGAAGGACACTTTCCACGGCAGGGGGGCCAGGGCAGCCAGGGGGGCCAGGGCAGCTGAAGGAGGGAAGGGAGGAAGGGAGAGGGGGGACAAAGGGGGAGGGAGGGGAGGGAAAGGAGAAGGAAAGGGGAGTGAAAGGGGAGGGGAAGAAGGGGGAAAGGAGGAGGAGCCCCAGGGAACACTGCATGATTAGCTAATCCAGCTTACTCTCCTCAGGCCCAGCAGCCACAGCCCTTCGTCTCCATCCAGCTGTTTCAGGCTTAGCACTATGTTGCTTGGGCGGGACCGAGACATACCGACCTCTGGTATGTCTCCATTGGCCCATCAATTGCATGCATTACAGCTAGTCACAGCCCCTCATCTGGACTGTCCCTACTGCTTCCCACAGGCTCTGCTGCCATGCAGATGAGCCCTCAGACCTGACAGGAGCATGGGGCACCAGGCACACCACCCCCTTCCTATTGGAGAAAGGAAGAAGGAAGACATTGGTGGGCGTGACGGTGCAAACAGAGGCCTCTGAGTGGCGGCAGGGCCATGGTGACTGGCCTGTGGGTGCAGGGGAGGCCGGGAGCAGACGCCACCTGTGGCTGGTGTGGGACATCCTGGCTCTGTGGGCACAGGGGAGGTCTGGGCAGGGGCCTTCAGGGGATGAGCCACTGCACAGCCACCTGCGGGGCACAGGAGACAGCCCCTGCGAGCACAGCAGCTGGACCCCAGGGCTCACCAGCAGGTGCACCCCCAGGGCTTCCTCCAGGGGCACTGACTCCTGGCACCCAGATCTCCCAAGCTCTTAGAGACTGGGTCTTTCTCCAACCTGAAAACAAAGATTAAGCAAAGCAAAAATGATAGTCCAGGAAAAACGGTTCCTACAGATTTAGATGGTGAAGGCACTAGGTTTCAGGAAGGGATTGTGTTAACCTGGGGGCTCAGGAGGCAGGGGGCTCAGCGGAACAGACTGGCAAGGCCCCTCCCTGGAGCTGGCGCCATGCAGGGCTGTCTCTGGGGCCTCGGGTAGCTCCGACCCTAGTGCTCCTGGGGAGCACCTTGGACAGGAATACTGTCTGACTCCAGGAAGACAGACCCATCCTGACTGGCCCAGTTTTAGGATCAACTGGAAAGCTGGTCACCAGTGGGACCACTCTGGCCGGCAAGCGCACGCTCCTGTCAGCAAATGTGCTGGTGACATGCGTGGGTGACCTGCCAGGATGCAGGTGACACGCAGCGGTGACCCACAGTGCTACTGTCCCTGCCAGGCACTGTCCTGTCTGGTGAGACTGTGACACCACACATGTCTGCGTGGCTGTCAGGACGGCTCAGCGCCCTGGAATCCCTGCCAGCCTGGGTGCTGCCCACACCGCCCACACTTCCTCCAGCTTCCTCCCGCTCCGCCCTCACCTGGCCTGCCCTCAACGCATGCCTGGTGCCCAGCCCAGGGCACAGGGGGACACAGGGGGCCTCGCGGCACAGGAGACCAACAGCCATGCTTCAGAGACCTCTGGAGGCTGGACTCAGCTGCCTGGATGGACCTGCAGGGTCCGTGCGGCTCGCGCTGCCGGCCGGTCCCTGGACGAGGTGGTGCCTTGCCCACCACCTCGCCACCATGCAGCCCTTGTTCTTTCCCTCCCTGAGAATGTGGGCACTGCTGGGCCCGCCTTCTGAGGTGGGAATAAGATGAACTGGCAGGAGGCGTAGAAACTGCCACCCGGCACCCACACGCCTGGAGCTGAACAGATGCCAGTGGCGACGCTGGGAGGTTCGGAGCTTCCTTCCTGCCCCTTGGTATCAAGGGTAACCAGCCCAGGAAGCCCACTTCGGAGCAGAAGGCGTGCCCTCAGGAGGCCCCACGGAAAGTCCCCAAGCCAGGAGGGTCTCTCTGACAGCAGCGGCTCTTCTACGCACTCCCTCGGGGTGTCCCTGCACCGGCTGCCCAATCCAGCATGGGGGACAGGCGGCGCCACAGGCTGCGGCTTCCTGGGCTTTCATTCATTGTCATGGCCGCCTTCCATGGCCAGCAGCGAGAGGCTGTGGAAGAACTGGGTGAGCACGTCCCTCCTTCCAGCACGCAGGACTTTATGGGGAGGCAAACGGCGGCACCTCAGGCTCAGCCACCCCCCTTGTCCCCCAGGGGGCTGCTGGTGAAGATGAAGGACAGAAGTGGCAGGAAGCACCAAGAGCAAAGCTGGCCCCGAGGACTTCACTGCAGAGTCGGGGACCCTTGCCCGGGTGGGGGGAGGGAGGAAGCCAGTTTCGGGCTGGGTTTCCTTAGGCTGAGATTTCAGAATACCTTTGCCTCCTCCCTCCTGCCAACACCCCATTCTCCTTCCAGTCTCAGCACAAACCGGTCCCTCCGCCCCAGCCCTCCTCTTCTCAGGGTTGGTTATTGGCTCAAGCCGGGCAGGGCAGGAGGAGGCTGGCTGTGTGGGCGCAGCTGCCTGCCCGCCCATGGGCACAGCTGGACTAGCATGAGCGGGATTGGCTGCAGGCCCCAAGGGTGGGGCGACGGGGATGCAGCCTTACCTGTCTAGGTAAGTCAGGAGGAGGTCAAAGAAGAAAACAGGAGGTGGCAGGAAAAGCAGCCTCCATCTGGCCTCTGCTTCGGTGTCTCCCCAGCCCCGGCCTGCGAGGTGAGTTCTTCCTAAGCAGCTACGGCTGACCCCACAGCAGGGGGTTTGCGGGAGGGCTCAGGGCACAACCCAAACCCTGCACACCCAGGGGCGCCTTCCTCCTGGAGCCCACCCTTAGAGCCAGCAGGGTAGGCTGCAGAGCAGGGTACTCCCCAGAGAGCAGGGCATTCCCCCCACCTGCCCATTTCCGTTGGAAATGCATATTGGGCCACAAGTAAAGAATAGGTTCCTTTTGGAAATTTCCATGTGTGAACAGTTGCACTGGGCTGTGACTTGGAGAAGAATAAAGAGCAAGGGGGTGCAGACGGGTCCCCCAGAAAAGGACAATGCCTTGGCCCGCGGAATGTCCAAGAGCAAGTGCCAGGGTGGGGACCGCTCTGCTGTCTTTATTGAGATGAGGGCGCTCGGGGTACCTGGTGGGAGGGGCACAGGGTGAGACCCGCTCCACGGGGACCCTCCCCCCGGCCCCGCTCAATTGCAGCCCCTCGTGACCTGGTTGCGAAGCCGCGTGTGTCTGGGGTCATTTCCTGACGTGGTAGGGGCGCCCACATCACGTCTCAGGGTGTTCCGCATGGGCGGCTCAGGGGCCCCGCCTGCCCCTGCCTGCTCTTGCAGGACACTGCGGCCAGGTGCTCCGAGGGCGTCCTCCGAGCCGCTCTCCTTTGGGGTGGGCTCAAGGCCGAACTTTGAACCTCACGGCTCCGCCTCCGAGAGGGCACTGGGCCCAACCTGGCGCTAGTGGGTGGGAGGCAGCGCGGCTGCCCAAGCCTCTGGGGGGGGGGAAAGGAGCCGCAGCCCCCATCCCGGCCCGTCCGCCCCCGGGAGGAGACCCTGCAGGTGTGCGGGCGCTGCGTGCTCATGCTTGGGGCCGGCACCCCCGCTGGCTCGTCTCCCCGGCCCACCCCAGGGTGGTCTCCAGCCGGCTGTCCCTGGGCTGCGGGAGCAGGACAGCAGGTCCAAGAGGAGCAGGAAGCCCTGAGCCCCGAGCCAGGGGCGCGGCAGAGGAGGCGGGTGGGGCGCCGCCCGGGTGCCGCTGTTTACCCAGCTCAAGGCTCCCATGAGGGCGGTTAATGGTTAATGTTTAATGTTGGGGGGGCCCCCATTCCCTCGAGTCTCCAAGGGGGTCAAGGGTTGAAGACACCAGACTCCTCTGGAGTGTTTCACCTGCTTCTCCGACTGCTTATCAGGGCAACCCCCGCCCCCCATTTCAATGCCTCCGGAAACAGCCGAGTTTCACGGCTGTAAAGTGGGGAGGAAATGCAGCTTCCAGGTCAGACTGGGCGGGGCTGCTCACATCCCTGGCTCCCAGGCTGGCAAGCTGGGCTGGGGTGCACAGGCAGCCCTCCCTTGCTCTCCACCTGTGTGGCCGGCAGCTTGGGTTGCTGGTGACCAGACTTCTCAGGGGCTGGGCCGCCACTGCTTCCAACATCCACTGCTGCCCAGAGAGCTGACCTTGAAGCTGAACTCTATAATTCACAGGGCTCTAGGGTGTCACAGGAAGAGCAGGTGGCCTGAGTTCCCGTGGCCTACACTCGGAGCTTTTGGGATTTAGTGCCTGGATGGTCTCTGAGCTGCGCCAGCATGAGGGGCGCCCCAGGGCCCCAGAGGCAGGCTGGGCCATCTCCACCCCCCTGGGGACTGGTGGAAAGAGCCCACTCTCTCACACATCAGAGGTGGTGATCTGGTCTCCTTAAGGTGTCTGGCGGACTTAAAGACCTGCCGGGAGGGTCTGAGGCACCTGGAGGCCCAGCTGTGTCCTTGGGCCGTGGGGCTCTGGAGAGCGCTTCGGGACCCCACAGGTTGGAGGGCCAGAGAGTCACTTTCTCTGAAAGGACGGGCAGCCTCTGCTCGCCATCACAGTGGGTCATTGTGCATATTTCAAATAAGAAAACTGGAGCCCAAAACCAGCCCCATGGGTCTCTCTCACCCTTGAGCACAAGGCCTGTCCCCGGAGGCTCCGAGTCCCTCTCAATGGCAGTCACAGCATCAGTCCGGCTGAAAGCACTGCACTGCACAAGCCACACGCTCACTCTCTGGGTGAGAGAATACTCGAGGGAAGATCACAGTGAGAGGAGAGGCCACCCAAGGGACTCCGTGGCAGCCATCAGGCAGGGGCGTGAATGGCATGGACAGCATGCCCGAGGGCCTCAGCCCAGCTGAACAGGAGGACGCTCTGCAGCAGCCAGTCACTAACAGTGGACAGCAGGGCGGGGGGGGGTTCTGAACTCCATGCCATGATGAGTCATGTTCTGCATCTCTGGGGTTCTGAGCACCTGAGGACCCACCTCACAAAGGGACCCTCTGCTCCCTGTCAACAGAGCTCCTGGCGTGTCTGCGCTCCGTCCCCGGAACCAGTGCAGCACACCTGGTTGACTCACAGGCCTTCTGCACCGGGCCCACGCGCGGCCCGCCCTGTCCCGGGGCAGGCGGCTGACTCACCCCGGCCTGGCCCGCTCAGGACCTTACTGTGGGCAGAGCCCAGGGGGCAGCCTGCCTCCGTCCAGGCTGCACAGCCCAGGACCTCAAGTAGCAGATGCTGTTCTGGAACATTCTGCCCAGAATTGCGGGGGCTCAGGAGAGATTGTAGAAAGTATGATCCAGGAGTGTCAGAAAATGGGGTTCAGAATAGATCTGCTGCAGCTGAGCTGCCCCCACTCTCCATATGCCCGCGGGACTGCACCTTTCAGTGAGCTCTTGTACAGCATCCCATCAGATGAGAGAGTCCCCTGGCCGGGCAGGGGGGCCCACCAAAGGGTGCATTGCAGGTGTCCACTCACCTCTGCCGTGGGTTCTGGAGGTGGACATTCCCCTGCCCTGTGGGCTCAGGGCAGGGAACCCCCTAGGAAGACCTGAGAGAGGGGCCAGGCCCAGAGGGGAGCCTGGCTGGCGAGGGCCCACGTCTGCCCCTACCACAGGAGCAAGGCTCACTCACTCAGTCCCCACACGCGGTGTCCTTAGAGACAGCTGGGCTGCTGCCCACTCTCTGGGCCGATCCTCACTCCCATCCCATCCAGCGCGGAGCAGACTCCAGCGGTGTGCCAGACGTCTGGGAGCGGCAGGGTGGGACGTGAGCCCAGTCCCCTCTCCCAGACTCCTTTGGGGGTTCATGTCTATGGTGGTGAATGCGGGCCAGGGCCCCTGGTCCAGCGGGAAAGTCACTGCAGGGAGATGCAGCTCTTTCCCCACCCAACCACTTCTCTGCGCGAGTCCAGCCCTCGGGACAGCGGCGCCTGGCCTCCGCGGCAGCCTGGGCAGTGATGGCCACTCAGCCCCACAGTCTGCTTGCCTGGTGTCCTGCCACCTTGCTGCTGGCTTGGATGGACCCGGCAGGGGCTTCGCTGCACTCACACGGGGCTCTGGTTCTTCTCTTTCCAGGCCGCCGGCGACCCTCTTCGCTTACCCCGCTCCCCCCACCTCTGGGAGCCCCTTTTGCTACCCTGAACCTCGCTCCAGGCCATGCCTGAGAAGGAGCACTGGCCAGCAGGGCCTGGGTCCAGCAGCCTTGACCGAATGATGAGCAACGCCTCTGCCCGCTCAGTGTCCGTACGTACATGTGTACACAGTGGCTGCCTGCCGCCCGCCCTGCCCACACACCCCCTCACCGCCCACACACCCTCCCTGCCTGCAGCTTGCCCTGCCCGCAGCCCACCCTGCCCGCACACCCTCCCTGCCCACACACCCTCCCTGCCCGCATATCCTCCCTGCCTAAAGCCCACCCTGCCCACATGCCCTCTCTACCCACACACCTCTGCCTTTGCTCACTCACTGCTCTTGCCCTTTCAACGTCCCCACCAGGCAGTGAATCACAGCAATTGAGTCACCTCTGGCTGGTTCTAGTGCCACAGAGAACAGGGTGGGACAACCTCAGGGCCCCAGAGGACAAATAAGGCTTCTTCCCCATTTCCATGAGGGTGAGGTGAGGGCTGGCAGGAGAGCAGAGGCAGTGGGAGCCGGGCTGGGGCTCTTGTCATGCATACTCAGTGGCGCCTGCTACGCAGAGCAGATAGAGCACAGTCCTCAGCCAGGCGGGTCTAGGGTCTTTGCTCATGAACTGCGTGGCCACAGGAAACTCATCCTCTCTAAGCTCCAGTCTCCACAGTTGTAGGATGGAGATGCCCTTAACACCAAATGTATAGGCTCTTGGGGAGCAAGTGGGGGCTACCCGTCACTCAGCGAGCCCTGAGCAGAGCAGCCCCAGCTGCGCGAGCAGGGGAGCCAGGTTCTTCTGGGCATGACTCAAAGTCAATGGTTGTGAGGCTGCGCTGGAGGGTGTCTGCCCAGGCAGAGCTGCTGTGCTCTTCTGAGATGCCCTGGAGAATTTCCTCATCCCTGCTTCCTAAACCATGCAGGCATCTGGAAACACAAGGGCAGGGTCTCTGCTGAAAGACAGGGACATCAAGTGCTGTCGGGACTCTTGACAGGGAGCTTGGAGGAGGGAAAGCAGCGCCCCCAGAGCATCAAGGGTCTCTCTGCCCGGGGCTGTGGCCTGGGGTAGTTTCCTGTTTCAAGGAGGCAAGACCAGCTGGAGTGTCCCCAGAGGACATGCGTGGATGAGTGTCTCAGCCCAGGTCTCGCACAGGAGAAACCCAGGGCCAGCTCGTCCCCACGAGGCTCTTAGGAGGAAGAAGGCAGCAACGTGGGTCTTCGCATGGGTGCTCCTGGGGGGCTTCGGGGCTTCCCTGGACACATGGCCTTGGTAGGGACTGTCCCAGCCAGTGTCTCGTCTCCCCCAGAGTTCAGACTGTCTCGAGGTCTCTCCTAGTCCTCTGAGTAGGTCTGTGATGCCCAAATTTTAGGTAGACTGGTGGGGCTGCCAGGAAGGGACTCAGCCGAATTTCCTCTGTGCCCCTGGGGCTCTCCCTGGGACCTCCTCCCCGGGCGCAGGTATGGGCAGTGACCATCCGAAAAGGTGGCAGGTGCTTTCACGATGACGGTGTGGGCTTTACTGCACCTTCATGTTTAAGGCTGTTTATCTGCCCCTGCCCCTCCCCCTTATCCACCCAGTTTCTCCACCTTTCCCTAAGTTAATATTTGCTTAAGAAATGCACACGTATTTGAATGTTAGCCAAAGTCAAATGCCATCGAAAGTAAATATGCAAGGGGAGAAATCCTGCATGGAATGCAAGTCAAAGTCAAGTACAAGTTGTTGCACACAGTTACCGTGCAAAAACCCATGTGCGGCCAGCAGCATGCTGCCCCTCTGACCAGGCCACCGGGAGTTGCTGCCCCTCCTGCTTGTCTGCAACATGCACATCAAGTCAGTTTGGGAAGTACTTTAAAAAGCTGAAAGCAATACATTCAAGTTTAAGGTTAAGGTCAAACTATGATGCTGCCCATATAATTAGGAGCAATATCAGAGACAGAGTGAAATACCCGACAGAGGCCCCCCGAGGGACTGGTCTGGGGGGTCCCACCCAAGGAGATTCCGGCCCTGCCTGCCCAGCAGGGCTAGTTGGGCCTGCTCCACCCCTGTCCTGGGTGCCCGCAGCTCCAGGAGGCAGGGCCAGCAGGCCATGGAGGGGCAGGGGAGTTTCCAGCTGCACAGCCTGCCCAGGGCAGTGGTGCCAGCAGCCTCTCTTCTCCGTAGACCGACAGCAGCTACGACTTCCTGTCTGCCGAGGAGAAGGCGTGCTTGCGCTTCCTGGAGGAAACCATAGGCTCCCTGGACACTGAGGCTGACAGCGGACTGTCCACTGACGAGTCTGAGCAAGTCTTGGTCCCCCGAAGCCCCCAAGGTCTACCTGCCCCCCAACCCACACCCCAGGGTAAGTGACACCATTGGGCAGCAGCTCGAGCAAAACCCCGGGGACCAGAGGTGCTTCCAGGACTCTCCGCATTCCTGCCCTCTGCCCTCAGGGCGCCTGTGGCTTCCTCTGCGGCTCCTGGCCAGCTCAGTGGGCGGGTGTCCCTGCAGTGTCATCGGAGACCCCGAGGGAGGAGGCTGGAGATAGGACCGCAAGGGTGGGGAGGGGTGTGTGGGAGCTCTAGAGAGACCGACCGAGTCAGCATGGGCGCTAATCTGGACTGCCCAGCCCCACCAGAGATAAGAGGAGGGAGGCCCCATGGGCAGAGCGGGGACAGGCAGGCACGGGAGCAGCCAAGTGCAGCTCTCCCAACACAGGGGAGCCAGTTGCCGGCTCCTCTCCCCTCTGCCAGCCCCACTAGCAGCGCCCACCAGACTCCCCGCAGACGGGATGGTATGGGCCACGTGGGCACCCGAGGGGCCTGGTGGGGCAGAGCTGCCGCAGGGTGCATGGGGATGGCTGTCAATTATGCAGACTACCAGGTGCCTGTCGAAGGCAGAAGTGGGGGCTGCAGGCACCTGGTCAGCCCAGAGCACCTCACCAGCCATGCTGCCCCTGTACCCCAAGGCCGCAGGAGTCTCGGGGCCGCCAGAGCCTCCCACACCACCACAGCTGTGAAGGAACAGGGACAGCCACTCAGGGCCATCTCTGGGGCAGGGATCTACTGTACTGGGAGTTCGCCCCTGTGACATCCAGACACGGGCGTCCCCCAGGGAGGGCCAAACACCACCCCCAGGAGAAAAGAGCCCCAGTTCCAGCAGAGGCCGAGCTCAGGTGTGTCCGCCCCTGCTGGGCTCTCACCTGCCTGCTCTGCCTGTCCCCTAACCCTCCAGGGCGTCCGGCAGAACCTGCCCCTCACCAGGGATCCCTGTCCAGGCCACTGACTCCGCCCAGCGCACTTCGTCCACCTGCACCCCAAGGCCTGGGCCTCCGGTCTGGCTCTCACAGCCTCCCCAGGAACATCCACATTGGCAGAAGGCAGCGTCTTGGGACTGGCACCGCCCAGGCCCCTGTCCTGAAACCATCTGAGGGGCCTGTCCAGGCCCCTGAGGAGGAGCAGGGCGCCCGGCCCCGAGAGCCCAGCCAGTCCCCAGCCAGGCCCCCGTGTGCTGCCCTGGCCTTGGACACAGAGTTCATCCCCCCTCCAGCGGCTTTCCGGGACAGCCTGCCTGTGGGGCCCAGGGAGAATAGCCCCACACCGCGGCCCCCCGTGGCCCTTGGTGCCCCAGAGAGAGGACAGCCTGCCCCAGAGGCCATGTCCCAGATGGCCAAGGAGAAGGGGCAGCCTCAGCTCCCTGGGGATGTGCAAAAGGCTCCCATCCCAGCAGGGGGACGCCCAGAGGCCCAGCAGGGCCCCCTCACAGCCCCAAAGCCACGGAAGCTGCCCCCTAACATTGTCCTGAAGAGCAGCCGGGGCAGTCTGCATGGTGACCCCCAGAACCGAGTGTCCCGCCCCTCAGACGCCCCCAGAGACTCGGGCCCGGCCCCCTCCTCTCTGCGGGAGCAGAGGAGGGTGCGCAGGGAGGCACTGGAGAAGCTTGGGCTGCCCCAGGACCAGGAGGAGCCCAGCATACCCCCGAGCAATCCCAAGCCCAGCACCTCCCTGAAGCTCAAGGAGCCCCATGCCCAGGCCCTGCCTGTACCCCTGGCCCCTGCCCACGGGCTGTCCCCACCAAGGGCTCAGGGACCTGCCCCACCCCAGTTGCGGGCTCTCGCCCAGGAGCCCACCCCAGGGAAGCTTCCGGCCACCAGGTCCAAGCCTGTCCCTATTCCACAGGCCCTGGGGGCCAGCAGTGTTGCCCCTCACCCCAAGCCAGACTTGGGGCTGGCGCTGCAGGAAAGCGGCACCCCCGGCCTGCGGCAGGCCAGCTTCAAGGCCAGCACACTGGAGCGCTCGGGCGTGGGGCTCGGCAGCCTGCTCTCCGTGGAGAAGGCCCCCTCCGCACCGACCAGCACCTCCCTGGGCAAAGTCTCCTTCCTGGACAAGCTCTCGCCCCAAGTCCTGAGGAACTCCCGGCCCCGCCCCGCCTCTCTGGGCACTGGGCGGGACTTCTCAGGCATCCAGGTGGGCAGGCTGGCCGACCTGGAGCAGGAGCAGAGCGCCCTGCACCCGGCATACCATGGACAGAGCCGCGACAAGCTGCCCCGGCCCCTGTGTGTCAGCGTCAAAATCACCCCCAAAGGTGTCCCTGATGAGCACCGGCGGGAGGCCTTGAGAAAGCTGGGGCTGCTGAAGGAGTAGGCGGCCCTGCCTGGCCCCCCAGCCACCCCCCCCCACCCCCCGTCCCCAGCCGCCCCGCCTCTGGGGCCTGGTGGAGCAGAGTCAGCGGCTGAGCTGGTGGCCTGCAGGTGGGTGCACGTGAGCATGTGGACTATCCCCTCCTGCTGTGACCAAGCTGGACCCCTGGGCCCCAGATCTGCGGGGGACCCTGACGCTGCCGAGCTCTCCTCGGCCTCGGCCTCGGGCGCCCAGTATGGTCAGAGCTCAGAATTGCTCAAAATGGTGAGATGGTGGCGGAAGGCCCGGGAGTCACTACCAGCCAAGGGGTGGGTGGGTGTGCATTTCTCTGTGCACCCCACAGGGGCCCCAGCCTGCTTGGAGGCATCTGGTTCCTCCAGACCCCACCACCCCGAGGCCTCGCTCTGCAGGCAGACTCAAGATGCCCCACACATCACTTCAGGCACAACCCCAGGAACAAGAGCTGTATTTTGTGTTAGTTGCCCTGATCAACAAGGACACTGGGGAGAGCCTCCCACCCAGACTTGGCGGGTGTCTGGGGCCTAGCTGGCCCCTGAGGCCAACCACACACCCACTGCTTGGGCCTTGGTAAGGTCACTTCTCTCCCAACTGCAGCCCCATGCAGCCCTTCGCCCTCATATCCAGGAGTATCTCCCGGTGCTTAGAGACACTGGCTCCCCATCCTCATCCTCCAGGAGCGGCGTGGCTCCTAGGGTGGCCTTTGCAAGTCCCACTGTCAGGACTGGACACTGTGGCTCTAGGCCAGAAGGTGGGGCCGGGTGGGGGCAGTCATGCCTCTGCAGAATGCAGGGGCAGAGGACATGCACTTTGTGCCCACATGCCCAGGAGGACCAGCCTGTCACTCCCCAGGCAGGAGTCCTGAGCCTGCGCTGGCTTCTTGCGCCTCAAACCCCCGCCTGAGAAATGGCGGGAGCGACGCCCTTGCATGTGGGTAGGTAGAGCCAGAGCGTCCCGGCCAGCTCGATGCAGGGGCCGCCTTCCTGTGACTGCAAACCCAGGTCACCGCCAGGACTTGCCGGCCCCTGGTGATCCCTTGTCCACGCCTCGACTCCCATGGTGGGGAAGTCAGGACCTGCCTGAGGGGGCTCTGTCTGGTGGGGGCTGAGCTAGAACTTCCCAGCCCGCCCACCCTCCTCAGCACAGTGCCCCTCGGCCCCCCTTGATTTCCCTGGGCCATGGGTTCCAGAACCCTGTGCTGTGCCAGTTACTTCTGATTAGAATGGGGCAGGGCATGCCCACTGCAGAGCCAGGTGGAGCACATAGGGCTGCGCAGTCATGGGAGAGATGAGTTTGCCCTTCAGAGCAGAGCAGCAAGGCTCAGGGAGCGCAGAGCAAGAGCCAGGGAGCAGGACAAACTCCAGGTGACCTCAAGCTGCTGGAATTCCCCACATATTTTCCTGCCAGCTTGTGGAGGCGAGGCTTCCTCACCCCCAGAGAGCACCCCAAACCCCAGCGGGTGTCAAGGTTCGCCTCGGCCCACCCTAGACAGTGCCAACCCCACAGGGAGAGGGCCCCCCTCAGATGCTGGTCACCCAGACTGTTGCCTGGGCCTCAGCCCCAGCTCAGAGGTCCCCACATGCCCCCGTGACACCGTTCTAGCCATGGTCACTGCCTGTGCTCCCGTGAGGCCGAGCCCCTGGGCTCATAATCTGCAGAGCTGGGACATGCATCCACTCACCTGGTCGCAGGTGATAACAAAGTACCTGAGGGGTCTGCGCCGCAGCCAGGCAGAAGAGGGTGTGGGACTCGGGGCCACACTGCCAGGTCGCCCTCCTGCCTCCACTCCCCACCAGAGCTCCGGGACACCCTCCTGGCTGTGCTGGACGCCCTCCGCAGGCAGGATGAGGAAAGCCGAACCTCCAGGAGGAAAAGCCTAGCGTTCTGCCTGGTCTCCCTGCAGCGCCCTTCCTGGTCACTCCACGCTCACCAAGAGAAGAGCTCATCCCTCGAATCTGGGGTCGCTGGGGTGGACAGCAGACCACAGGCGAAGGTGGGCGGCGGGCTGTGGCTGTCAGAATCTTACACACACGTGTTCTGTGAAGAGCAGTTCTCCATGGGGGGCAGCGAGCAGGAGAATAGGCAAAACAAAATAAACCAACTAGTGGCCACCAGGAGCCAGCGTGCAGTGACAGAGGTGACGAGGGCAGGGGAAGGGTGGCAGCGGGCGTTTTGCTTTTCCTTTTTTGGGTTTTTTCCTTCTAAACTATAAAATAAAGGGGAATGACTCACCTCACAGGAGAGACCCTGGGTGACTCAGGCAGAGGCCGTCCCCGCGGGGGCGGTGGGAAGAGGGAGCCCTTGGGCCGGCGGGAGGCCCTGCCCTGCCCCTGCTCCCATTTGCTTAGCTCAGAACAAGACAACATTTCCCACACCAGAAAGTAAGTAACAATCAGACCGCATTGGGGGTTGGAGTGTCAGGAGGGGAATAAGCCGGGAACAGGCCAGGTGAGCTCCAGCCACCACGAACATCCTTGCCACACCCACAGCAGGGCGCAGGGAGCTGGCCCGGGAGCTTTGAAACACCCCGCCCTTGGACAGGCCCTGGGGACGAGTGCATGCACACTGACCAGTCAGGCTCAGGACCCTGTGCGGACAGTGAGGGGCTCAAGGATGAGGGGCTTCTCTCCTGGCGGGGGAGCAGCAGGCAGGAGAATGGGGCCGGCGTGGCCAGGTCTCAACCAGCAGGGGCTCTGGTGGCTGCTGTAGGTGAACACGCGTGTCTTCAGCACCAATTTCCAGAGCACGGGCACCCAAAAACATGTGTAGGGGTCCCGGGTGAGGACTGGCGAGCCCCAAACGTCTGTGGTGGCAGGAAGCCAGCGTGAGAACCCTGGGGTGGGTGGTGGGCAGGACAGACTGCTCTCGGGAGTGGCCATGGGGTCAGTGGCAGAATCAGCCCCACTTAACCCACAGAATCAGAACCATGTGTGACGCACACAGGGGGCTGAGACACGGCTCAGCGGGGCTAAGGCTTGGCCCTGTTGCAGGCACAGGAGCCGCGCGGCACTGTGGGGTCAAGTCCAAGCAGCAAGAGGGGATTTGAATCAGGCTGTGGGCGGAGACCCAGGAACCTGGAACCCTGGGGGTTACCCGCCAAGGATGTTTGTGGGGACAAGTAGCCAAGTCCCCTGGGCTTAGATGAAAGAGGGTACTGTTCATAGAAAGAGCCCCCTGGGCTGGTGGGTACCAGCCACTGCAGCCCTGTGATGGGGAGGCGCGCCAGACTTCAAGGGGGCTGGGTGGGGACCCCTGCTACCATGGTCCTCAGCGGGAAAAGCAAAGTCTTTCCCAGAAACTCTTCAACAGGCCTTCCAGGTCTGTGAGCGGCACCCGCCCCCACTGTGGGGGTCCCTGCCCTGCCTGAGGGGAGCATCCCATTTCCGGGCTCCAAAGTCCAGGGGCCCCCCCAGCAGCAGGATGCCCAAGCCTGTGTGTGTCTGACACCGGGTCGAGGGTTCCTCACATTGGCAGGGGAGCAGCCAACCACAGCCATGTCTCCGGCCTCCCCACCCGGGCTTCAGCCTGGCAGGACATCCTGTCTGATGAGACTGGCCGCCTTTGCCACTTGCATGGCCGCGCTGGCCCTGGTGCCTCGACCGGCTGCTGAAACGGGGCCTATAGTGGAACCCGTGACTGGAGGCCACATCCTGGACAGCACAGCCCAGGCCCTGCAGCTCTGCACACAAGGGCACTCCTGGGTGGCCAAGGCCGCTCCCCTGCCTCTGCTCGCTCTTCCACCCTCGCACTTGTGCCCATGGCCGACCCCCCCCCAACCCTGGCAGCGCCCGCCCCTCTGATCTCTGTGCCACTGGCACCTTCAGGTCCCACTCGGCCTCCGTCAGCAAACAGGTCCCAGCCTGGGCTCCCGCAGCTCCCGCCGCCATGCTCGAAGCTCCCTCGTGGGCGCGGAAGAGGCTGCTGGGACATGACAGAGAGTCTGTGGGGACACGAGGAGAGAGCCCTGCGTCCTTGAGGGGCCAGTGTGCCCAGAGAGGGGCAGGGCTGCAGAGGCAGGGCCACCTCCATTCTCTCTGAATAATCGCTCCAGGTTATTCAGCTGCTATATCAATGCAGCCATCAGGAAACCATCCTGCTCCCTGGTCCTGGGGATGCATGCCACCCTTGCTGACTCCCACACCCTGCAGACCGGAGATGGCTATCCCTGCTCAGGGCAGGGGGTAGGAGATTTCCAGACACGCCCCTGAAGTTCCAGGATGGGAACAGTGACCCACCATGACCCCAGACTCTGACTTGGGTAGAGGAGAAGGAGAGGGCGGGTCCGGTGGGAGTGGGTAGGTCATCCCTGCGGGCCCTGAATCGGGGTGTCCGTGTTGGGCTGGTTAGTCTGGCTGTGGGTGGCCAATACCCGCTGGGAGGAAAATCTTGCCCCATCCCCACCGCAGGAGTGGGTGTGTCAGGAAGAGGACATCCCCACTGCAGTGCTTACCCACAGGGTGGCCTCGAGGCTCAGACATTACCCCGCCCTCACTGAGTCACAGAAGCAAGTCCTGAAGGGGCAGCAGGACCCCAGTGAGACTTTCACCCCATCCGTGTGCAGCTGGGGGCATAAGACCAGGTTTCAGGTCACGGTGTGGGGTGTCCCAGCGTCAGTGGGAGGAGACAGGGACTCTGCCCTCAGCACAGCCCACGGCAGACTGGAGACCAGGCATGGCCTGTGGGTCAGGAGAGTGTCCAAGGGCTGCCGGGAGCTCACATCGCGGAGCCTGGGGGCAGGGCCTGGTTGGTGGAGGGGTCCCAAAAGCGGACATAAGGAAAGGACTGTTTGCAGAGCAGCAAAAAAGGGAGGGGAGAGAGAGAGGTGACGTGGCCAGTGCGTAGTTGAATGGCCTATGGCAGCACAGGACACAGAACAGAGCCGGCATATGGGGATTGGCCACCTGCCCACAGCCCCTGAGGAGCCTGGCCCAGGGTCCCCACAGAGAGTTCAGTCCCAGGGCGTCTGGGGCTCCCTAAACGCTGGA